CGAATCGTGTGATTGCAAAAGCCCAAAATAAAAAAATAAAAAAATTAAAAAATGCTTTCTGATCGCTGAGATCAGTTCAACCTGAGGCGATTCAAACGACACGCCAACAGAACTAATCATAGACAGCTAGACACCTGTTACTTAATATAAATGCCTAGCTGATAAGACGTGCTAACGTCAATCTCTGTGTTCGCTAATTGAATTCCGACTCCGTTGAAGCATTAACAACAGCAGCAGCAGCCGCAGCCGCTGCCGCAGCAGGCGCAGCAATCGCTGCAACCGCAGAAGCCGCAGCAACAGCTGCAACTGCAGCAACAACGTTTGACGGCTCCATTCTAGCGTGACATGATCTTGACAAGGCGGCGCCAATACAAAAGCGTACTGCCAACTGGCACTCATTTGAGAACTGTTGCCAAAACCCCGGGTCGAATAGGTGCATAAGAATGAGTACTCGTTACAATTATGCTCAACATTTAGCTTTATGCATCATTAGTTTCAAACAGGCAGCTGCTCCTTATATGGTTGTAGATAAGTATCTCTACTTACCTTTTAAATAGATATGTACGTAAATTGGTACGCTTTGCAATTGATATTCAATAGATATTTCATTATTATTATTAAACATTTATGAAAGCAGCTTTTCTCTATATGGATGTACATAAGTACTTCTAAATACATTTTAAATGCATATTTAAAATACATAATTTAAATACTCTTAAAAAATAAATATACAATGGATATTTTTTGACTCTATGCTTTCAAAACATTCAATTCTGTCTTATTAATAATTTTTTTAAATTTTCTGAATATAAGAAATTAGTTGCTTATAATATAATGCCAGATTTGGCAGGTCCAATTTTCACAAACAAGTTGCCTACAAATAAAATATAAAATGCAAAATATTCCCATTTCTAAGAAATGTATTTTGTAAATTAAGAAATTATTTATAGCATGCAAACATTAATTTCTAGTGCACATTTTCTTTGAGTGTATTTGCCGTCTGTCGCCTGCAGTGACTTGCATGCTGGCATCATAATGTCGAAAATAAGTCTTACGCATATCTCATATTTGGGCACTCAATACGCTCGTCTGCTTTGGGTAGGTAAATAAACAAAATGCAAAATTGCCACAGTTTTTAAAATGTCGGCAATCGTCACGTTCGACGTTCAACATTCAACATTCAACGCCCAATGCTGTCCGACTTTTGTTGTTTCAAAAAATTAAAAAAGTCTCGGTCGTTGATTATAACACAAATTATTGCAAAGGCGGCTGCAGCTGCTTCACAAAATAAATAAAATTCATGTCAAGCTGGCAGCTTGGCCAGGATGCGTAACGAAGAATTCAATTAAAAATGCTAATGTCTGCCAAGCACACATAAAACATGAATCTCAAAAATTGAGACGCTTTGGCTCAGGGGCAGTGCCGTTTATCAGTTTGGCTCAAATTGCATTTGCAGGTCATCCAAATAAGAATTTGTAATGTAAGAACCCAAATGCCATTGGCATTTTTTCCTTTTAGTATGTGCATATATGCATTTAATATACATATATGTATATATATTTTTTTGTTACTGAAGTAAAAGCAAGGCACAGACAACAAGGTCTGGCAGTGTGTCACGCAACCAGCACATTTCAATTTCGAAATTCAATTTTCATACAAATTGCAAATATAAGCAAATAAAAACAACAACTTATTGCTGATTTGACAATTGATAATGAGGTGCCAACTAAGTGCATTTTCATTATTTTCGAAATAACTTCTGATCTCAATTCCATGTAACTAATAATATTAAAAATTTGCTATCAATAGTAAATGTAATTACAAAATATTAGTTCGATTTGAGTTCCAATTAAAAAAAAGAATATAAGTTAACAAATTTGTAGGTTAATCTAATCAGAATTTAGTCTACGCTTGCATTTACAGTAGTCGAAAATATTCAATAGCATTGTAATGCCCTTGAAAATGGTACTTAAAGTATTTAAGTAAATTACCCAGATACATTTGAAGGTTTTTGCGACGCCTTTCAGAATAGGTTACGCAGCAAATTATCGTTTGATTTATTGAAGTGTTTTTTTACACGCTCTGCGATAAATAATCTTAATATACAAATTCCATACTCATTCACTAAAATGCTCTGTGACAGATCTGGTTTAATAAATTTAAAAAACTGACAGACAATCAGGCAAATTGACAAACGCAGGCGTCGTCAATTTGCTCGTCTTTGGCCCACACGCAAACCGAACAGACCGTGTCGACCCAGCCCCTCTACCCAACCCCCATATTCATTGCCTTCATCCCAATTTCCGAGCTGTTCCCTGCGAGTTACAGTGCAGACAGTAAAAGGAAATCGTCGTCAATAAATTGTTCGAGTCTTGCGAAATTTACGCGAACGAACTTTATAAATGGACTTGCCGGGCTCTTTGTCGCGTTGTCTTTTGCATTTCTTTTTTAATTGTACAATAATATTTAATTGCAAAGCCGCACAAGAAAATTATTAATGGATTTCTGGTGGTTGCGCTTTGCTGGTTGGTCAGTAACAATAACAACAACACCCACATAAATGCTCGACAGATAATCCCAAAATCGGCTGTGGGTGTGTCGCCATCACCAGAGACTTGTGCCAAAAGTCAAACAAGTATAATATAATAAACAATCAATATCTGTACAAAGCGTATTGTTCTTAACACTTCGCTGACTTTTCGAACTTGAGTTCTGTGCCCAAAAATGTACAATCAGCGATGTGCGAAGTAAATTTGTTGTGTGTGTTAAAAATTTGATAAGCGACACATTTCATTCCTCCTTAATATTCAATATATATATATGAATATATGAGTGTACATGCATATAAATGAAATATATTTGCTATTATGATTCACATCTTTTGAATGATTCAAAAGGCTGTGGGGGGAAAAAAAAAAAAAGATTCTTAAGATTCGACTAACCTGTCCAGTTAAACGAAATTTCGAAATTGTAATTTTCAACAAGAAGAATTGCTCATTTTGAATTTCAAATGATTAATATAATATTAAACAATAAAGAATTTAATTTTTTTAAAAAAAAAAACCGTGTTGAAATATGCTTGGCATGTAAGAAGCAACACCCACCACTTAGATGATTTCTATTTTATTAACTCATTCCGCTCTGCACGGGACCAGAATGAGTGAAAAATGTGTGACAAATATTAAATAAGTAACCAATGGAAAGAACACTTTAACGAGGACTTGTTAATTGGAGAGCATGCTTAGCTTTGATTTGTAAGTCATAATTTTGTAAATAATTAAGACTTCTCCACCAATTTTCATTCAGGTAAAAATTAGACAGCTTAACTCTGTGGATTATACCATCTTCAATTATCGATCATTTTTAAATAATTTCATAAGCATAACTACTCAAAATACAATTTTACTTCGGTATATATTTCTACAATTAATAAATACAAAAATAATATTTAATTAACAATGGCAGTTTTCAAGATTTTAATGTTGGGAATTATGAAAATCAAATTCGCAGAAGCATTAAAATAATTTTTTTGAATTTTAGTCATATCTATGCTAATAATAGCATTAAAGGCGAACTATTATCACGTGTGCTCAGATGTTTCTATGTTTCCAAGAATTCCTATAAAACTTGAATGGAATGGTTAAAGATATTATCAAAATTATTTACCGTTTTGGGATTCTCTTAACCGCCAAACCTGTAAAAGTTGCTCATTGGTATTTGGCAAACCGTAGTCAATTTAGTTACAAATTACTAAGCCAATAACTAAGGATTTTCCCTTTGACTTAGCACAAATACGTGCCAAAAGCAAGGTAAGCCAATAAAATTAGGCACACTAAATTCAAATGCCGAAAAGGCCTTCGTACCAAGTTTTGGGGCAATAAACATACAACAACAAGTTGTCACATTCGTGTTTTGCTCAATGGCGCAAAGAAAAGACAAAACAGGCTACATATACGCAAAATGAAATAAATGAATTCATTTCCAAGAATAAATACAAAGTATATCGATTTAACCGATGTAGTATAAATGATGACTAAGGCGAGGAGGGAATATCTAAATACTCAAAAATAAAAGTGCCAAAATACTAGAGATTAAACAATACATATGTAAATAAAACTTAAATGGATTTGCAATTAGTAAATGAATTTTGATGCATAAACATTTTGTTGGCACATTAATGTAAATTAGCAAAGTTAGCGACACTGAATTGGTGGAATTTTAATTGCTTGTGTGTCGCACTTTACGCCTAATGCCGTTAAACGGCCAATTCCAAAAGCATTCGAGACACATGACGTATGCGTAATATTAAAATGCCACGCGTAGCGTCCCTTGACATTTTTCAGTGTGCTGGAAAATTTTACATAAATTCGTACTTGTATGTGAAACGTGAATAAATAAATATATATATATATATATATATATATACATATATATGTCTACATTTTAAATACATACATACACATCTGTGTGTATATTAAATGGAATTTATTATGTGAGATTGCACAACACATATGTATATTTTTTTATGGCTGCAGTTTGTTTACAAATTGGCGACACTAGGAAACTATTTAGACAAATCAAAAGCTGAGCAGAAAATTATAAAAGAAAATAACATCGTTGCGGCGAAGCAAAGCAAAGCGGGCAAACAGAGAAAGAATGAAATAAAAACAAATTAAAAATAAACGCAAATATGTTCGAGCACAAATAAATAGAAAGAAATGCAGCTACATATATACATCCATACATACATACATCATAAATTCGAGTGTGTGTGTGTGTGAGTTTGTGTGCGTGAGTGTGGAAAACTGTGTCGCTGTGTCAACGATGCTGCAACTGCGAGTTCGACGTCTGCCACAATTCTAAAAGCGAAAAGCGTTTCAAATCGCCATCAAAACGCGCGCGTTAGGCACGCGTTGCACCAATACTTAAATACTTAAATACCTCAGCTTATTCTTAAGGTTTCAATGCAAAATGCAAAATGCATGCAAATAATTAATTACCTGTCTTGTCAGCTAACCGCAATTATTGGAGTTTATGTATTTTTAAGCTCGTTAAATTTTGTAAGCAGTCGAACTGTTTATTTAGCACTTTTTGAGCACGAGATGGTTCAACTTAATTTGTTCACTGTCACACAGTCGAGACTCGTTGTATTTTCATTTAATAAATTTTCACACAATAATTTTCGCCGCGTCGTTGCCGTCGTTGTCTTCGAGCGTTCTACTTCGCTGCGCCTGCGGTTCTGCACTGAATCGTCAACTCAACCGTTTCAAGTGTTTTCATAGCCGAAGTCAGCCACTCAACGCTCGTGAATCGAAAGAGAGAGAGCTAGAGAGAGAGAGAGAGCCGCGATCGCTGAGATCTTTTCGGCATCGTTAAAGAGTCAGCAATGCTCGCTCTCAGTCAACATTGAGCTTTTTAGCGACTGCTTGAGTCGTTTTGTGCACCCGCACACTGCACCACTCAAGTGGTTGCCTTGAGCGGATTTAGCCGTCACCGTCACCATCGCCATCGCCATCGCCGGCCGATCAAAAGCGTCATAAATTCATTACAAATGAGAGCAAGAGAGAGAGGCGATTGGCTTGCAGCGCAGGGGCTCGCTCAATTTTATACACATTTTTCTGCGCATTATTTTACCTTGGCAGCTTTATTAATTGCGAGTGTGGAACACACCGGTTATGCTCTCGGCGCCGGCAAACATATTTGGCGCCACAGCAGATGAAACAGCAGCAGCAGCAGCAGCAGGAACAACAACAATAACAGAAACCAAACGGCGCATCTGTCATGCCACAAATCAAGCAATAATTTAGTTATAGTTGTACTATAGTCGATGCATAGCTATGACTTACTTCCACATCCACATCCAGATCCACATCAACATCAACATCCAGATCCACTTACGTGTTCGACCAGCCCAAGTGGCTGGCCATGTGTTGAGCACACGTGCGCAGGGTTGTATTGTGGGTTGTACTTCATGCTACGCCCACAACAAGTACGAGTAATCTGCGATATACGATGGGATATATAATATGTAGCAACTGCTAGGTAGATGCCTGCCATAAACACACACACACGCATATATCGCTCATTGGATGCGTCAGAGTGCATATTTTAAGAGCGCTGATATAACCAGAAGACCTCCAGACAAGCAGCCACTCGAGCAAGACAACTGCATACTACATACTGCATGCTGCGTACTACGCTTCCCGGCTCCCAGTTTCCAGGAATGTGAGCAATGCGGGGGTGTGACCATGATTTCTACAGGGCACTCCCTCCGCCCACAAACACCCGCTCGACACTTGCCACTCGCCACTCGGCGCTCGTCATTCTTATTGATATTCATTGAGCGGTTTCTTGCGTCTCACAACAATTGCGACAATTTTTCTGTCTGCGTCATCATTTGTTATGGTTTGTTGATATTTTCGCTTTGGGGCTTTCAATAAATTTCCAAGATGTCCACATGTTTTCTAAATGATTTATGTGCTGCTTATGAAAGGCGGCGACACAATGGGGATGGCAATAGACCGAAACTCCCACATATGATTAGGCTCGGTAATGAATCAGCGCATATTAAACAAAACAAAATTAAGAGCAATCCTTGAAAATTATTTAAGTATTTCCAATATGCACAGAATTTAAAATATATAATTATGATATTCTTAACTTTGGAATATATCATTTGAAATTCAAAAACATATTTCAAATTTCTGAAGAATTCTCTGGCCATTATATTAGTAAATGCGTTGTGGTTTTATTTATATCAGGCTTGACTAACGACAAGTGTTTCCTATAAAAATTGAACGAATTCATGAAAATTTAAATTTGGCGCCAAATTTGTTGACGCACATTGAACATTTTCAAACACAGCACATCTGTATGTCATAATACTGAATTCAATAAACCAATTAAGACTCGGAAGTCATGCACAAATGTCGAACTTGGCGCTTTTCCAATATTCATAAATTTCACATAGCAAATAATCCGAAATTGCAACAGCAAACAAACAAAATAATATCAATAAATGCTTTGTTACTTTGCTAAAATATATATATTTATTGCAAATCGGTATTAACTTTGAATTTCGTATGAATTTTCTTTATCGTTGCAGTTCCAATTCACCAAGTTCCCCAGCGTGCTGAAGGCTGGACATTGCCACGGCGGAGTGGCCACCGCTCGTTTAGAGAACCAGAGCGCCTTGCAAGATGCCGCCGGACTTGTTAGCGGCGCTGGCAATGATACGCATTGTTATTGCACCATCGAGCCCTACATCGATGCCAAGTTCAGCGTGCACATTCAAAAGATTGGCAACAACTACAAGGCATTTATGTAAGTGACCACAAAAATAACCGCAGACAACAGGCATTCGTTCGATTAAAAGCTGAAAGCCTCCGTATCGATGTCGATGTGGATGTGGATGTAGATGTTGATGGGTATAAGGTCGAGTGTCTGTCTCTGTGCCTGTGCCGGTGCCGGTGCCGCAGTCTGACAATTGACCTTGGGCCCAACAGCAACTGTCAGCAAACAAAAGAAACCTCAATGCAGCCGCAATTGGCAATTATCCTACCAAGTGCAGTTCATTGTTTGGGTTCAAAGCACCTCAAATGCAAATTGCCTGCTGCCATGAAATTATCATCGCTTTGAAATTTGGCTAATTTATTATGCTTTCATGCTTGCTGCTCTTTAAAACAGGCGCAAATCCATCACTGGCAACTGGAAGACCAACCAGGGCTCAGCCATGCTCGAGCAAATCACCTTAACTGAGAAGTACAAATCCTGGGTGGATGAGGTAAGTCTTCGAAGTCGAAACTCGAAACTCGAAACTAAACTGACTTGAAACAGTTAATCAAAATGTGATATGAAAATGTTTTTCAATGCTTGGCAGCTTTTATGCTCTATCAAAACCTAATATATATGGGACTTAAGCTCAGCATGTGCTATAAATCAAAGATGTTCAAATTAAATATATATTCTCTCAACTAAAACTCTCTGGGATGTTAATTTAAACTTAATTTTAAAACTTATGATAACCTTCTATAACCTTATTATATAGTTTAAAATATGATCATTTTCGTTCATTTCTTTTTTTTTTCAAATACATAAATTTTAAGCAATGCTGAAAACTGCTCACAATTTCTTTCTTCCTTCATTTTAATTACTCACTAATTTAAAATCCTTAATTGAAATAGCTTAAAGATTTAATTTTTAATCCTTTTTATCCCAATTAATAAACTCTTCTTGTCATTTTTTTAATTTAATCTTTTCTTAATAATTCAGTTCTGTGTGTAACATGTTTCCCTTTCCAAATCTAACACGCGTAAAATAACAAGTGGATACAAATTAATTGCATAGTTCCATTATAAATCAGAATGGATATAAATAACGCTGACATTTTGTTAATTTCTGAAAGTCATACTACGTCACACACCCATCTCAAAATAACTAGTAACTTTATAGACACTACGTTCTCTATATACTATTTATACACTATACACATAAATCATTCAAATCACATTAGTAGAAAAGGAGTCTCAATACTCATCACAATCCCAAAGTACACGTTTCACTTTCACACGCTCAAAAAAATGCCCATAGAAGGGACCTATTGGACTACCATGAGTTGCACACTATACTTGCCACTAAGTTTGCGGAATATAAAGTATTTCAAAATATCAATAGGGCCATCTGTTATCCGCAGGCTAACCAAACTTTCTTCTATGCCTTTGCTGGCTGGCTGCAAAAGCTGAGCTACCCATGAAAAGAGCAGTCGAAGCGTTTAAGTCGCATTTATGAGCATGCAACTGAAAGGCAGCCCAAAGCGAAGTGCACACATTTATCAAACGTTGCCAATCAAAATAGCTGCACAATCGACTTGAATTATTTGCGGCACATTTTGGGCACACACAATTCGGTTTCGCTGGTTTTGCCCCCTGGGCAATCTTTGGGTCCCCACATTGAGCCGAGGCTGCTTACAAACCGATCAAGAGTCGGCGCCGCTTTAAATCAAGCTCATGAATATGCAAAAAAAAAAAAATATATACAAAAAATCTCAGAGGAGTGCACTTAGATATATTACAACTATGTAAGTGTATTATTTATGTATGATGTAACGGGACAATCGGGGTACCGTAATAATTACTGTGAAACATGAGAATGCCATCAATTGCGGCATTTGATCATGGACCATAAATGGCATAGAACTCAGCTCAAAGATAGTTCGGCTCAATGCTGACTCAGAATTTCCGCGTATGCGCATAAATGAACGGCAATTACCGCAATTTGCACATGACGATTAGATAAGCTGCCGAGCAATGCGGCACAGTTATGAGCTATGAGCTTTTTAGGTGGGTGGCCGTACCACACACAACCACATTGCCACATTGCTACATTGCCAGACAGCCAGCCACTACTTAGCATGCCTACAGTTCTAAGCAACTCGACGCAGCCCCTAATCAAAACAAACTGAGTTTGTAATTAAAACCATCAGCTGGCGACGTCGACAGCAACAGCAACAACAACAACAGCAACAATAACAACAACCACAACTGTAACAAAACTGCAAAATAGGCATCAGCAGCCCACACAAACCCAGAGTGCTGAGCATGAAATCGAAAACAGATTTTGATTTCGATTTTGATGAATTGACTCAAACGTGCTGTGCACACACAAACACACTACACACATGTACTAGAAGGTATTATATATCTTTTACTTCACTGTTAATTCGAACTATCAGTTTTCCACTCGATCTTGCGACCCACTTGTGCACATTCTTAAATTGAAAAACGCATCAATAATTAATATTTAAATTTGTATTGAAAATAGGGTTCTATTATAACTTGGGGTTTATATTTATTCAGAGCTTTGTATTTAATACAGAATATACGTCCGCTTCATGCGACTTATACTACGCGATTCTAGCGACCAAAAGCGACTGACTCATACTTCATGAAAGTACCTTAAACATACCATCGAAGAAGGTCTTGATCATAAGGAACTTACAATTACCGTTACTCGCAGGCAACAACAGATTAAGACTACAAAACGGGAATACAAGACAAGCTGCGGTGTACATAGGCAAATACAGTTATTTCCAACAGGTTCTTTTAATACGCAGAAGTATTTCCTATTTTACAAAAAAAAAAAAGAATACGTAATATACATCGAAAAGTATTTAATTCAATTGTACAAAATGGAATTATATCACATCAATTATTTAAATAAGCTAAAAAATAAATATATTACAATTTTAGAAATATGTTTAATATCGAACAAAATTTTGTTTTAATCTAGGAAATTTTCTTTGATTCAACAATTTTTTTTAAATTTTATATGGCGATAAGTCGACCCGGCTTTATCCATAATGTGATGTCAATTATCGCCAATCAGATATATACTACTTTTAAATCCATTCAATATTAATATAAAAGTTTTTAATCTGTTTATTTACAGATATCCGAACTGTTTGGTGGCTTGGAGGTGTGCGGCGTCTCTGTGGTGGTGGGCAAAGATGGACGCGAGTACATCATCAGCGCCTGTGATAGCACATTTGCTCTGATTGGCGATAGCCAGGAGGAGGATCGCAGGCAGATAGCCGAACTGGTATCTGGACGCATGCAGGTGAGTTTCAGATACCCTGTAATTTTGAACAAGAGCTAATAATGAGCACACCAAATAGAATGTGTGCCGCCCGAGTATGGCACAGACTGGTCCCGGCAAGCTACCGTCGCGCTCCTCAGTCTCCTCTCGCGCGGAGAGTCCCACTGATGATCCGGCACCGACGCCACCGCTGCCCGCCGGACCGAGGCCAGCACCGATGGGTGGACCGCCGCCAATACCGGAGCGCACCTCGCCAGCGGTTGGCTCCATTGGCCGACTGAGTAGCCGCAGCAGCATTTCCGAGCTGCCCGAGGAGCCATCCTCGTCGGGGCCCAGCACAGTGGGCGGGGTGCGTCGCGATTCGCAAACGTCTCAGGCATCGAGCATTTCGTCAGCATCGAGGGTTGGACAGCGTCCTCCGCAAACTCAGACGTCGGTCGTTGAGGATGCGGAGGACACCATGAAGAACTTGAGGAAGACGTTTGCGGGGATCTTTGGTGATATGTAGGAAATCGCTAATAAGAAGCGCGGCAGAACGGCGAGCGAGACAAGCAACAGCAGCGGCCTGGGCAGTGTGCCCAGCAGCGCTGGACCCCAGACAAGCAGTGGAGCAAGCAGTGCATTCAGCGGCTCCTTTCTGGGCAAGCAGTTCTCGTTCGCCTCGGGCAGCAAATCTAGCGGCACGGATGTGATCTCAACACAACCAAGCCGACCGCTAGAGGACCCATCAACAGCGGCCAGCTCAGCCGTTCAGTCCGCTGCCAGCGTTTCGGACAGCGTCAATATAACTACGGATATAGCAACATCATCTTCAGCAACAGTAACAACTGCTGGCTATAAGCCAGTGACCAACTTTGAGCCACAGGAACGCGTTAATCCCTTGACAAGGAGCCGCACAAGTCGGTTAGCATCGCCAGCATTGGCGGTGCCTCAAACACAACCTCATCATCATCATCGTCAGTGTCGTCGTCGTCGATTTCGTCACGCATCAATCGCAATGGTAATCCAATTAAGTCACCACCACCACCAGCAGGGCCACCACCACCACCGCCCAGTGTGGTGGCCACCAATGCCAATGTCAACATCAACACAAACACAAACACAAACAGCTCCAGTGTGAGTGCCAGTGCTTATCGCAGCAGCTTCAGCAGCTCGCAGCTGAGCAAGGACAAGACCAGCTATGGCAACTACGATAGCACCACCTCCATTGAGACCATCACACGCATGGACACCAATACCACAAACACAGCCGCAACAGCAACTGGAGCAGGCGAGGCTAGCGGCATTACAGCAATAAGTACCGGTGCCGTTGGCACCGCTGCCATCACCAGTTCGGCATCCAACAACGATTGGCGTTCGGCAATTGGCATTAGATCGGCGAGTGTTTATAGTGCACCCGCTGCAGTGACAACAGCTGCTCTGCCAGGTGACACCTCCGGTTACGATTCGAACTCATTGGCCTCGCAGACGGGCTTCAACAATCCCAGCGATATGCCCTCGTACACACGGCCCTCTTACTCCCGCTCCGAGAGCAATGGTAATTATCTAGCGGTGGGCGTGCTGCTGGTCAGCTTAACGCTGCGCAAGACCTAATCAATATATAGATATATATATATACATATGGATATGTATAACCAAAACTCATATCCCATTTTCATTGAATCTCATAAATCAGTATATCAAAATAAGCATCAGTATCAACATCAACATCGACATTAATATCAACTCAACTTAACCAATAATCAGCTAGACCCACATACACACACACACACACACATAAAGACATATAAATAATCAAGAATATTATCATACACACAATACATACATACGTATTTATCGATAAGCGAGTATTTGTATTTAAGCGACCAAGTTAAGATGTTAAGCGTTACAACAAACCCTTTTAGCCAAGTAGGCAGCGTTTTGAGAATGTTAGCCAATGCAAATTAGGTGCCACTGTGTTTTTTCCTCATTGATTTTCTTCTTTGATAGCCAACTCTTACAAAATGTGTAAGCCAAATATAACGTATACGACATGTGCGCCGCAAAACTGTTTGTAAGTTTCGCCATCTGCCCGAGTGCTGCTCTATTCGCTTGCCTGCACGCACAATTCTTCACGAACACTCACATAACTACAACTACAACTACAACAACAACAGGAACTCTGCCATACAGTAAATACTCGCTAGAGCGCACCGCAATCTCAGTTAATTTCTGGCTTTCTTGACTCGCACAATAACAACAACAACAAATATAAAACACGCCAACATAATGGACACAATAACAACAATAAACAAGTATCTTAAAAGAAGCTTCAAAGTAGTCCAAAATTCGATAGATGTTAAATGCAACCGTTTCTGTTTTTTTTTTTTCATTTGTTTTACCTTTGGTTATCCTTAAACTTTGTGTATGCGTATGTATGTGTGAGTGTGTATTGAAAGAGTAAGAAAACGCAAATGCAGAGTTATCAAAAGATCAAAACAGTTCTATTATGCAGACTGACCCCATACATATCGAAACTGATATCAAAATTCATTCAAATAGCGCGATTCATGTGATTCATTTGCGATGCATACGCACTCATTACAAACCTATCACAATTAGGTAGAGGATGTCTTTTTACTTTATACACCCAGATTCATATTCGTTTCGTTATCATATGCAATTGCAATCACTCATTGTTATGGACGCATTTTTGGTAACGCTCATTCTCTCATATCTTTCATATCACCTTAATCAGTGTGTGTAAACAATTGGCCCAAGTAGTGCTAATTTTAAGCGCGCTAGAATTGCACCCACGCAAAGAACAAACATAAAAAATTGATGTGCATCTCAAAGTTTTGGTTTTTGATTGGGTTTTGTGTGATTAATTTGTGATTTGTGTATTTGCAGCCTCAAAGCAATCCGACTTGGACATCATATTCGGCGATAGCAAGACAACGACCTCAAGTCCAGGCAATGGCAAATTCACTCGCTCCGGCGGCTCAATCTCCGATGCGGACATGATCTTTGGCGGACCGCCATCCAATTATAAGAGCGATCGCTTTGGCGCTGCCAAAAGCATGAGCATGAGCTCCAGCGGCGTTGACGCCAGTTCCAACTCCTATAAGATCTATGAGGGTATACAGAATGCGGCATTCAGTGACTACAGCGATTCGGGCAGCATTGCCAGCGTCACCTCAGCTAACAAACGATGGAGCGCCAAACAGGATGAGGACGATGAATTGGATTTAAAATGAATCCACTCACTCACACACACACACACACGCAAATTGTAGACAACACTCATTTCATAATCACACTACACACTTAAAACTATGGGAAATCTGTCATTTTCTGCCTCCGAAGTTTCCTGGTTTCATGAAAGAATGAACACATACAAATCTAATCAACTGCATCAGCATCAGCATCCGCATTGAGTTACTATCATTTTCACTATTAAAAACAAATGAGTTGAATATGCTACGATATCTATATAAATATATGTATCTCCTGTTATCATCTATATTAAATATGTATGCAGTTACTTTTCATTTGCAATGTGAAGGAACAAACAAAAAAAGAAAACGCATATAATGAAGATAAAACAGAATAATAACTACGGAAAAAACACTATACAATGTATAATTATAACCACCAAAGCAACAATAATAATGCAAGTAAAGCCCATAAAAAATGTGCAACTTCGACGATGACTTGACTGGTTTTGCAGCAATAGATGGAGGATATTAGGGATACTCGAAAATCGTTTTGAAACCTTTTCTAATTGAATGCAAAATTATATATACATACATATATATATATATATTATTGAGATGAACATTTGAATATATATAAATAAAACATCTAAAATAACAAATATTGAGATAAATTTTATGGCATATTAAATGTTGCTAAACAAGTATATATATTCGCAAGGGTATATTATATGTTAACTTGCTATTTTAAATCAATTTCGAATATTACAAGTTACAAATTAAACTGTTAAACGAGGAGCAAATAAATAAAATATTAATGATGAATTTGCGAATAAACTACTAAGAAGCATAGAGTGAACTCCATTGGATTCACGTGCTAAAATAAACGACAATATGCGTAAAGTATGAAAAGGCAACTTAAACTAACATACTAAATATTTATGACGCAAACGATGGTTATTATAAAATATATACACACATGTATGTATGTACTTATTTCGAATAACTATATATGAGCAAATGTTACATAACAAGGCATACACAAAAGCTAACCAACACACAAATTAAATGTTTATTATATGCCCACAAATATTATTATATATACAATACATATACATATATTAGTAGTTAATGTTTACACACACACATTTGAACACATACAGCAAAACATACTCGTATATGGTATTTGAAAATCGATGAAATCTACCTATTCAACTAACTACCGAATGGCATCGTCTAAAGCAATGTTACATTAAGTATAATGAACCAAAATGCGAGAGCAGAATATGAATGAATGAATATTTTAAATGATGCTTAAATAGAAAACGATGGGGCTTTTGTTAATGGATTGATTTATCCAGAGGCATGCACATTCTATACTATTCACTATTTACTAGTCAAGAATGTTGAAAGCAACAACGAAGATATTATAACATAGATGCGGAGAAGCTTTTTGAAGTATTAAATGAAAACTATATTTTTTAGCAATGAATGTTTTTATTAATTTTTGTTACGCACATGTTTAAGCATTATTTTTAACAATAGCTAAATATTTAGAATGATTTTGTTGTTACATATCGCGAAAATAGTTAAACCAACTTTTTGCTTGGGTTGTATATTACGAACGTTTTTAGAATATGTATTTAAATGACAGTTATTTACAGTTACTTAGTTAAAAGATATACAAATCAAACAATAGACATATTTATATATCCAAAATCCATTTTAATATATAAACTTTACAATTCACAACATATACTACATTTCAATTCGTAATGTCTTCTCAATTTTAGTAGTGATTTACAAAAGCAAACCAATTTTCGACATACATATTACGAATTTATTAATAACGTATACAAAGAGTTAACGTCTTCGATAAAAATAAAACATTTTACGAACAACTCTGAGCTTGATTTATTCTCATAGTTATGAACCCAACTTTATCGATATCATACCTACCTTCGCAACACCAAACATCATCATTTAAATTGATTCCTATACCTATACCCTCAACTGGCACATATTCAAATCACATTCAATTGTTTTAGAGACAAGCATTTACAATGACAAAAGTAGAACACAAAGTACATCTACTTATAGTACACACACTCACATAAGCATACTGGCATTATCTATAACTTATCGTGCAAAAACAGAACATATATATCACATCAGATAATATCATTGAGCGCATAATGAATGAAAACTGATGAAATGCTGAAATATTACAAACGAACACAAAAAACAACTTATAAGTAAAATACCCAACTAAAATATATATATATTATAAAATACATAAATAATTCTTATACATTACTACATATGTTGCAAAATATACCAAATAAAAATACTCGTATTATTGTGAAAAACCCAAAAAGACAAAAAAATCAAATATATATATATAGTACATATAGTACATGCATACTTATATACATATATTATGTACGTGTATGTTGTCTGTAATTGCATATAAAAATCGAAAATATGATCGTGAACATTTATGAAGCATCTACAAAAGCATGAACAACATTTGAATTATACAATACACATATATATATATATATATATATATATATATATACAATGCATACGTACATAAATACTTTCCAACTATTTCCAACGGCAATACAGCAACCACAAAACCCAAGTAACAATAAACGAGTTGATGATTGATACAAAAAAAAAGTGCAGCAACAATTGTGTTACATTTATTCACTTGAGGTAAGGGGCTGCCACGCACAATTTCGCGTGCGTTTACCTGGAAATGTTTGACAACATTGACATTAGCGAACAAGAGAGTGGGAGACAGAGAGACAGCGAGAATTGCACAGGTAAACTGAATCCTTGAAGTGGAAAAACGTCTGGCCAATTTTAGGCTAATGACACCAGGAAAACACTCTCGATCTCGATAGTCTCTCGCCGTTAATCTCTTTTAGCTCTCTTTTATGGTGCAGCCAGGCACAACATGCAACAAGTAATGTCTCCATGGGCTTGGACTTGTCTCTGGGTTTTAGCCTTGCCTTCTACCTGTATAAGCGGAACAGTTTTGGCCGACAGATGTGCGACAGATAAAAAGCAGGCACTCGCCCTGCCTCCGACCAGTCACGACGTGCCAACTGACAAAAACACAACACGCGATCTTAAACAACACAGCACAATGCAAGCCAAGTGGAATTATGCAACAAAACATTGGCTGACTTTGACACTGCTGGCAATCCTGGGCTGCTGTTACCGGTGCCAAGCAGCCAGCGTGAATTTACATCTGCAGCCGGTGGAGAGTTTAGACCCAATGCTGAATGACAGCTCACAGAGTGAATTGCGACCGTTATCGTGGATAAGAAGTGCTCAGGATATGTTTGGCAGTCCCGCTGGCCATGTTGTGGTGCAGGTGGCCAAGGAGCTGCTGCATCGCTCAGCGGGCAATAGTCAAGTGCGTGCACATATATATATATTTAAATAATTTAGGCGAGACATCATTACTGCTATTTGCAGGTGCTCAGCTTGAATCTGACCAATTTGCTGATCATTGTGCTGCTCAAGGTGCTGATCTTTTCGGCTGGACTGCTGGGTGCCGGACATTGGAGTGGCTATGGTCATGGCTATGCCAGATCCGCTTCACGCATGGACAGTCTCCATGGCCTGGGCATTGGAACGGGCGATGACTATCTGATAATGGGCTTTCTGGCCGCCCAGGGTGCCGGTCATGACGATTGCCTATATGCGGCCGCCTGTGCCTGTCCAAATGCTGCCTATGAATATGCCAAGTCAGCTCGTGCGCTGCTGGGCGCCATTGAAATATTCGAGGGGTGAGCCAGACAAATATCCACATATTAATATTAACAATATATGTCTGTGTAATAATTCACAGTGTACCATTGGAGGAGCCACGCTATAATGATCTCATCGTGCTGATGGAGCGTGCCGCCTACGATGGATATCGAGGAGCTAGCTGCAACACCACCCAATCCTGTGATGGCCTCTTATAGCCAGATCACTGCGATTCATCATAATCATAATCATACTATTTATGTTTTGTAGTACAAAGGAAATATGTATTTATTTTAGTGCTATTGTAGTATTGCTTTAGGCTGTAGCTACGGTAAAAAAATTCAGCACAAAAAGCAATCTGTTTTTGTTAGAAGTTCGTTTTCCAACAGATCACTTTAAACAGCATTTGAGCATATAAAAGGAAAAAAATTATAACCAAAACAAATGACACTTTTTAAACCCTGAAATAATAAGTATATATACCATATATACCATATATATATGTATATTTGCTGGCGTTTGTGTATTATGTACAGTCTTAATGGTTCAGCATGGACATATACAAGTACGTACAGCTAAATGCTAGCATTTTTGATTAAACTACTATAACTATTATTGTGTCTAGATGAGATTCATTGCTTCTTCAGTTTAACGCAGCATATTTCTCTCGATGGCCAATTGCTCCTTGCCACCGGAAACGGCCTTGACGAACTCGGGATAATGCAACAGTCCATCGTTGTTGTCATCCGCAATCAACAGAAACTTATCAATGGCCTCTATAAAATGACATAAGCATGAATTTATTCACTTATTAATAAATGTATATTTTACCTATAAAATGATCAAGTTCTTCGCTTGCATTTTGCAAATAATCGTTGCGCTCGCTGTTCTTGAAGTAATCATAATTATGATGCATGGCCGATTGTATCATCTCCAGACCATCCAGTGCATTGTTGTTGTCGTTGTCGTGCGCCTGTCAGTGTGTATTTGTTTGTGTTTGTGTGTGTATATCAATAATAAGTCAAAGGACCTGTGTGTGGAAGCAACTCACCTTAAACATGTAAAATATTTTCTCCTCATCGGTCATATCATCCAAGTTCGCCTGTATGCCCATTTCCCTTAGATCATCATCGATTCGACTGTTGAACAATTCAAAATATTTACCAAACATTTTCAATTCACACACCCCTTTTGCAACTCACTGCTCCTCATGAGTCAGATGCTGGTCCACTCGTCGGGTTTCGCCGCGTGGATGATGTGGTCCCCGCTTCATGGCCAGAGTGCCGTCAAATGATTGACTGAAGCTGGCCACGCATATGATAAAGTTAAGCACATTGGACAAATTGTACATTTTGTGCATTAATCAGACCAATCAAGCTGTTGAGGAATTTACGTATTTGCTTTTTACAGGGTTGTCCAAACGCTGTCAAACTGACAGCTCAAAGCGCATGCGTCGTTTTCAGTTAGTCTTTAAATGGCGCAACTGTTACGTCTGTTTAAATATACACATTGAGTTCAATTTAGTAACCCAGCAACCTTTGGACTATTTATTCGATAGTCTTGAATTGTAAGCAACAGTTAACAAACTCAAGACAACAACTCGAAACAAAAATTTCATATTTACAAAAACGTTGCCCGATTTTTGATCAAAATGTGCGATAATTTATGTGATGATTTGGAGACATTCAATCCTGAAGTTGAATTCCTTAAATTTATTAAACGTAAGCCGGTGGTGCAAACGGCTAAACTTTATGAGAATCTGCACAAACGCGAGGACATTAAATGTCCCTGTAAGTAAACCACAAAATTAGTGCACTTTACCATTATTACAGAAGTTCATTAACCACGTTCTGCAGACAACTTCAAGGGGTATGGTGTGGAGAAGGACACCAACACCATGTATCGCACATGTAACTCGGAATATGGTTATTATGCGCCCAATGCCTACACCATACCGACTCGCTTCTATCCCCTCTCCCAGCGTTTCTCCAATGATGTCGTCCGCTTCGGCATGTATCGTAATTTCTCGCTGAACACGCACATGGATCGTACGTTCTACTGAGATCTGGGACATATCTCAAGTGCAGAGTCTCACACTAGAGGGTTTTTATTCATTTTTCATTAGCATTTCAAATTAACTGATAAGCAGAGCAAATAAATATGCTTGACATCTTTCTGTTTTTATACCACCAAATGATTTTTTAACAATCTATCAGATGTCTGATACTAAAATATCTCTGCCAATATTAACAATACTATCAAGTACCTAATTGCACAGAAACTCATAAAAAAAGATAATTACAAATAATTAAAGTGTTTTAATTGAATTAGTGGGTTACCCTGATACGATGCAAGGCAACACTTTCTGTATTTTATAGACTTTTAACAAGATGAGCTATTAAATAATATCCTTGCTGTTTTATAAATGCATAGTCGACTTATTTACATTTTAGTAGTAACAATATAGAGACCATAAGCGACATAAAACATAACAAAATATTTAACAACAACAATATACAATTTAATGAATACATTGCAACTGATCAGGAATGTTAGCTAAAATTCAAGCTTAATAGACCAAACCAAATTCTAATTTTTGAAGGTTTGCTCCAGTTTAAGCAGGTCGCATCTGGCGTTGATTATAATGTTAATTCATTTGTTATTTTTATATATTTTGCATAAAAACCAAGGAGAAATTGAAAAAATACAAAAAAAAAACTTACTTATAAAATTAATCTACCGTTGAAGAACCAAGTCAACAATCTACTACCTACCGCTGTGTCATATCAGTGCACCTTCAAAATGAGGTGAGTTTTGTTGCTACCAATTAGCATGTGAAGTTGATAACAATTGAAACGATTGAGGCAACCACAGCGAAACCAAAACTCTACTCAACGCATTGCTATGCGACATTTACGGCAAGCAGGAGCTGCAGGCGAGACGTCTGCGACGTAGCCGTCGCCAGAGGAATCAGGATAAGTTACATCGCTGCCGAAGATCGTCCGAGAAGAGTCCACTGGCCAGAATGGCCAGCAGTCTGGCTGGGAATCGGCCTGCATTGGAATCGCTGGATGTGCGCCAGTTGACCGATGTCTGTGCCATGCTCAAGGTGGAGATTCTGATGATGGGCTATCTGCTGGAGCGAACGCTGATTGCAAGGGATCGTCTGAAGCGACATCAGGAAGTGCTCTGTGAATTTGTGACGGCCATACTTGTTGTGGAGACACGTAAGTTACATTCGAACCAATCTTTGCGAGCAGTGTAGTCAGCTGTCAAGTTGGCACCACTGTGAATGGAATGCGGTGTGCGCATGACCGACAGCTGGCTAATGTTCTGGCCAGCGGGTTAGACTCGGACTTGTGCGGCTCCAAAGCAAACCCAAATCAGTCAAGTGCGGAACTCTCAGCTGTGTGCGTCGCTCGAGTGCGGAAAACCAGAAAGCAAAGCTGAAGGAAATTCACTACACGCAACGCAACGCATGTATGTGTGTTATCTATATATATATATGCATATATATTTTTGTTGTGTTGCTTAAGTTCATTGAATGAATGGTGACTCCGCTTCCCTGTGTGTGTGTGTGTGTGTGTGCTATGGTGGCAGGTAATGCCTACGCATGTATGTAACAGTGGGTTGTGTCTGTGTGTTGCTTCTGGGGGTTGATGACGACACAATGCTTGAACATGAAAACAACTCGCTGGCGGTCGTTTGGAGACTGTCTGACGTGCAACACCCACACACCCACACACACATACAGAGACGCACACGCAAATACACAACTACTACGCCGTATTCGTATTCGTGTGTTGGCACGTGTATATGTCGCTGACTCTGCTGCTGCTGCTGCTGCTGCTGTTGCTGCTGCTTGGCCTCCGCAAGTATTTTGCCACATTTATCTATGGTTTTATATCTGTGCGCTGCCTCAGTCGCCAGTCGCTGTCAGTTGTTGGTGTCGCGTCATTGTGTGGGCTCGTTTATGTGGCTGCAGAACATTACCCTTGATATTCGTCGTACACATGATGTAGAAATGTTTCACATCGACCGACGTTAACGTCGACGTTGACGGCTACAGCAGCGACAGCGGCAGAAGCAGCAGCAGCAGCGGAAATAAACACGCACACGTGCAAAAGCAGTTTTCCTTTCATTTATTTATTTATGCTGGCATGCTAATATTATATTCGCAATCAAATTATGAATAGTGAAAGAATTGCATGCAAGTAAAATACAATAGACCAATCTCTATAGTGTGTATGTGTGAGTGTGCTTGTTGGCTCATAATTGAATAACGCAATATTATCGATCCGATGTTGAAATGCAATTAAAAATTGCTGCAGCTGTCAGCAGTTGAGGGCTCATTTTAATGACGCGCCTAAAAGTAGGCTACACAAAATTTCACTTAAATCGAGCCGAGTTTCGCTTTGCGGTCGAGGGCGCGCGCCATTTTAGCGGCCCATTTTTGTCAGCTCTATTGAAAATATATATTGCTGGCTATTGATGCCATTGTTTGTTTGTCCTCCCACACAGACATGCCCATACATACTTATGAGCACGTAGGCGAGAGTGTGTGCCATTTGAAGCGTATTCGATTTCTTGTGATTTATGTACTATACACAAACACACACACACACACACACACACACATCCAACTACATACAGTCATGGAAGCACACTCGGGCCCATTACAAATTCTTCGTTAAATCACTGGTGAAGCGAACAAAAAAATATTAATTCAGCCATTGCGTAACTGCGAATAGTTTCAATTAAAAAGTATGAAGATTTAAAAAATTTTTAATCAATAAATTAATATAATATATTGTACAGCTCTTAAATTTCCCATAGAAAATGTAGTCAATTTAGTCTAATTGCAATTTAATTGACGAGTGCCCCAAATAGTCCTTGTCCACTTACTTATTTACTTTACTTAAGCCCTAAAGACTGCCAGTGCCAGAGTTAATACCTCACGGCTTGCAAGCTTTAGACTCCGATTACATTTGCTAAGAGGCTTCTGCCTCCCGCAACAGCCAACCATTAAGGCTTCAAAAGCCTTTCAATACGTTTGTCTGTTTTGGAAAATTTATTAAAGGGCTGTAAAACCAAGTGAAATGTAAGTAAATTATATTTACCTACGAGTATTTGTTTTTACTATTGCATGGCTATTTTGGTTGGGCCAGCACTAAAAAGTGGGTCAAGACGCCAGTTAGCTGAATCGATGAACTACAGTGCAAAATTCACACAATGGCACGTCGTCGTCTTACCTAATCCAAAACTATGGGCCAACAACTACAAAGCTGGCACAGCTTTAGCCGTTGTCAAGGTTTCAGCTACCTCTTTGTGTGTGTGCCACCAGTTTCATGAATGTTGTTTTACTTTCCTTTTTCACTTGTTTGTTAGGCATAATAAAAAAAGACTGAAAAACATTTCTCAATGACATTTACCATGCTGTTGTTTGTTACTATTTTAGTGTCAGTGTTTGCATGTGTGTGTTGTGTGTCTATGCGTGTGTGTGTGTGTGTGTGAGTTGAGTCGCAAGCATGTTGGTAGCAAACGTGTTATATAACATTAATAACAGCATGACATATTTATCTGTAGATATACTCTCGTAGTAAATTTCTGTATTTATGTAAATTTATGTGTGTACTGTGTAAACAATACTAATGATAGGCCACAACAACAACTACAACAACATACAGCTGAAACGAACAACGTAAAAATGCAAAAAATACAAAACGAGTAAATTGCGAACGCTCAGCAACAACAACAACAACAACAACATCAAAAACAACAAAGAAACAACTATAAACAGCTACAACTGTAACAACAACAACTTGAATTTAATGAGGCGCCGCTAAAAGCAGTCGCAGAAATCGTAGCATAACAAGCAGCGCAGGTTTACTTAACATGGGTAAATATGCCAACTGTATAAAAACGAAAGTGGATTACCAATAACAACAATAATGCCAGCATTAACATCTATGACAATCCTATCTGGTGTATTTGTTAATTAATGTCCTCCCTTCCACCCCCCAAAAAAAACGTTTTTTAGCGCGCCCTGAAGCCACCATCAAAGCAATTGTTGAGCATTTGCTTAGCTGAGTTGCCTTTGGTTGTGTGTATATGTGTGTGTTCAGCATTGATATTTTAATTATTGTACATTTATTGCTGTCTCTCTGTTTTTCTTTCTATCTTTTTTTCTCTTCTCTAAATCTCTCTCTCTCTCTCCCTCTTTATTGCTCTGAATACTGCTACAACATATATATATATATATATATATATAATCTATATATTATTAACAAACAATTACCAACAAAAAGGTAAATTTTACAAATGAAATATACATAAATGCAAACAAAAACCATACTCTTGCATAAGGTCCTGCCAAATTTTCGATTGGCATTCATAAAATACCCCTCACATACATACATTAATACATACTTACACAAACACCCCTCCACAGCCCGGCATTAGTCATGCATAACGCGCACAGTTCTAATTTGGGGCCCGCTTGTAATTAACATTTGCATTTTTCACATGAATTTGCCAAAGACAAAGAGGAGCCTCGTTTTGGATCCTGCCTGCCTTGGGCATACATTTACATTATATTTCGTTACTATTAATGGCGTTTACGTGTTGCCCTTTTAATCCCTTTTTTGCCACTTCAAGTTTTACAAGATGACCGTTCAATTAGAATTTCCCTCAACTTACTCACATCTTCGTGCTGTTTCCCATTTGGTTCTGTTTTTAGATTGACGTCGCTTGTCATTAGCAGATTTCAACTATAACGCCCACACTCCCCAAGCTCCTTACACACGCACACACACACACACACAAATACACACTTACGAACACTTACACGCATGCCTAGACACAGACACAGACACATACACACGCAACTGTTGCATGCCGCAGTGTTGTTTCTGTTAATAATCGTTATTGCTGATATTGTTTGTGTTAGCTGGTTCTCATTATTGACGCATACTCGATTTGTCTGTGTCGAAACAGTTTTCAGTTTTATTTTGTGCTGTTGCTGCTATTTTCACAATTTTATGTGTGCCATTGAATTTTTCACACCTCCAGCGATTTGCCATCAAATTTTAATTGCTCTTAAATCAGTGTTGAATTGCTTCACATTTTTATCTCCTGCCTCGAGCGCACCTTGACACCCATGTCCTTTTCTACGGGCTAACCAATATAGCAGAAACAGTAGCTGTGAGATTTAAATTATCATAAAACATTTCTACAACGAACCAAGGTTGCCTTAAATATGTCTCAAGTTAAATTCTCTTAAGCCAGTTAAACAGCTTACATGCGTAGCGTTGCATACTTATTATGTATACTTAATGTAAAATTTGAAAGGTATTAAATTTTGTTATCCTAAGATAAATATTAGCTTAAGCATCGCATAGCTTAGAGTTTGAAAGTTTTTTACAAGTATCGGATTATGTGTTTTCCGTTTATTTGTTGCTAGAGGAGTTTGGGATATTTTAATATTTAGCGAATAAATATTTGAATCCTATATATTATACATTAAGCGAGAAACGATTGGAAGTATGATGAATTGATTACATTAGCTAGTTGAACTGTTTTCATAATTTGTGCTTCTACAGATTTTCTATTTTTAATTCTGTTCAATGAATTTTTATTTAAATACACACAGTCAACAAAGGTCAACAATAAGCAGAAAAATATATTGAGAGAGGGTCACTCCGTAAATGTTGTGCGCATCAAATTTTGAAATCTAATCAAAATGAAATCTATAAAAGCCTCTGCCTGCCAAATACAACATGACTGAGAGAGCTCTTATCACGACCGCCTGATTTCCTTCAGGCTCCTTCTCATATATTTCTCATTTTTTATGGTTGGCTTTGTGAGCCGCACACGAACAACATCAACAATAAAACGCAGATGATTTTTTTTTTGGTGCAATTTCTCGTATTTTTATATGCAGAACGCGCAAACCAACTTGTGTAAACTTAAAATGATGAGTGAGGGTCAGAGCGAAAGCAATTTCGTGTACTTTTCAGAAAAAAAGCTTAACTTTAATGTGAAGCTCATTGAAATTGACAGGTAGCCATTTAAAACAAATTGATTGGATTTATTTGAGCGCAAGTCAGTTAGTTATATGATCTGATCAGATGATTTCATCTGATTAATGCTGTACAAACGAGAGTTTTATTTAATAACAAGAATTTTAAAGGGACTTAAAAATAGCAGTAAAAATCGTTCAACTAAAAAGCCAATGCACTTTGGGGAGCCATTGAAAAATGGAGTCGGCTGCACAGACACTCAGAGGCAGGAAAACAATGGCAGACACTTGAGCACAACATACAACAAACACTTCATGTATACACACACATATGAGTGTGTATGAGTATGTGTTTGAGTATGGGAAGTGCCAGCTTAATCGGCAATTCAAGTTTTTGTCTGTGCCACGTGATAGCGCTGCAAAATTGAGCTAGCAACGATATAAGCATTGAGTTTCAATGGGTTAACGAACCTAGCAGCTTTAAAATTGTTATGTAACCGTTTCACTTATCCCGCTCTACTCTATCTGTCCAACCATCTATCTGTCAATGTGTTTAGAGGACCGTTTGTCGCAGCTATAATTGGCTCCAATTGCACTGAACGTGCTGCTGCATTGGGCAAATAGATTCATCCGGAAATCTTGGTGTGGCAACGGAGCAGGGAATTACATAGTTAAGTGGCGATTGCTGGAGACAAAGTGACGCTGCTCGGGCAGACCCTTGGCATTCCCAAAGGACTGGTGAGCTGTGTATCCTGCGTACTCTAACTGGCTCGTAAGGACATTGCTTTGGCTGCCTTCGGGGCTAGCTGCTTGCGAATTTTTTTATCTCTAAGTACATAAGCCAAATGTGCGCTTGGCTCATTAAACCAAATGTCGCGTATTGCGGTTTTTCACTTGGCTAGCCAAATATAAACACAAGCGCATACACTCAGAGAAAAATTTAACTAAATTGAAGATCGATCATTTTTCAATGTCGTTCAACATTTTTAGAATTCGAATAGAATTTGCAACTTTTCATAATTTCAATTTATTTTATTTATTTATTTATTCTAGCACTACAAGCTTGAGTATTTTCTTGCAAGTATTATTTATTATTTTTTAATATTTAAAGACAATTTTCTAAATATTAGCTCGATAAACAAATTCAGAATAAATTCACATCGAAATTTATTTTATCTGCAAATAAGTAAGAAAGTGGAAAACGAACATATTTTTCTTTGTTCAAATCGCAGTCAAGTCAGTCGTAGGCTTATTTAAATTGATCAAATAAATTTAAATGCTATATTTAATTGTCAAATTGGTTAAATCATAAAATATTTGTGTTTAATAATTTTAACAGCAGAGCAAACAGAATGCAAATAAATATTTCGATGTGCACATAAAAACAATTGGGGTCGATTTTTTCTGAGTGTACACATAGACGGCCAACTAAAGATACGCACGTGATGCGGCTTAAAGTTCAGTTTTGGTCAAGGCCTAGTCAAGCGCTCGACCAAACTGCCTGGCACAGCCTTGACATGCACACACACACACACACACACACACACACGCACACACACACGCAAATACATATACACATGCATATTTGCTTACAGATGTATATATGTAGATTCTACACATGCCCGGTTGTCATTTTGTAGTGCATTTAAAATAATTACGGGCAGCTGAACAAAAAAGAACTGGGCAACTATTTTTGTATCTTTTGCGTGCCTTGTAGCCATTGTTGAATAAATCAGTTAGAATGCATTTATATCCCCATTAGGGGAGGAAGAAAGCCAACGAGTCGTGTCCATCGTTGCTCATAAAAATGCTTTATGAGCCTTACTTAATTTGTGCGTCGCAGCGTTTGAGGACCATTACATAAGTGTTTATGCAATTAGTAATTTATTAGCAATTTGCCAGTTGTTTGCTTGACACACTCTTGACTTTCCACTTATGATTCACATTGCTGGGTTGCCATGCAAGCAACAATATTTGTACACATTTCTTTTGTTTGCCTCGTTTTCGCAAACACTGCCAGAAATGGCGAACATTTCATTGCTGCTATCAACACCAAACAGGCTTATATAATATTTATGTAATACGCACGGTGTTCAACATAAGGAATGTTCCACGGGACTTTACAAACGCGCTAAAGTTGGGAGCCTTATTTTAAGCATAAGCATTAGCAAACTTTACGAAGATTACGGTTTATTTTTCAATTAACTTTTCATAATTTCTTTGTATTTCCCTAAGCTGTGTGTTTAATTGCTTAGCCTTTAATTGCTTTGACTTAAAGCGAAATTTAATATACATGGAATAATTTAAAGAATTATAAGACGAGGGAAAACTAAAAAATTTAAAGCAACCTGCTATAAAATAATATTAGTTATAGCTTTGTGTCTTCAACTATATTATAATAAATGTTATGAATATACGAAAATATCAAAACTTCTATTAGAGCAATTTAGAGAGAATTTAATTTAAATTTAATTTAGAACAAAAATTCCATTATATAGTGGGCTGGAATAAAAACAAAAAAGAATCGACATCATGAACATTATTTTAAATTTGAAAGAATTTGTTTGCCGTGCATGGAAATAAATGTGTACATGGAAATGAGTTCTTATATAAACACAGATACAATAAGCACAAACATTTCCAAGAGATTTGCAAGCGTTGCACAAACTTTGGGATGTCACTCCACGTGCTCGGGCCAAGGACTTCACGTTTCAGGCGAACTTTTTCCTTGAGGCTTATCCAGAATTTCAATTACCTTTTCACATTTGTATTTAACTTCTGTTTTATGGGCAGAATTTCAATTAGTAAAAGTTGAAATTAACTATTTTCTTTACTTGATTGTCTGGTTTTCCACAGTTAAAGAAACTTCCTTAAAATTGTTAGTTAGTCTACGAAAATAATTCAATTAAGCTAATTAAATTAGAAATTCCTGTGCGAAAAGTTGAGGCTTGTTTGAGTTATATTTTTTAGTCTTAATATAAAATTTTTGTTGTTGATCTGAATGTAGAAATGTTATACAGATATGTGAGATTACAGAATATTAAATTATGTTAAGGCCAAGAAAGATCATCTAGGACACATTACAGATAAATCCTAAATATGGATGTATAGTTAAAGTCTGTAATAAACAGTACCATCATTATTAAATTATTTATGATATGATTTCTACTGACAACTATCTATCATGACAATTTAACTTTTAGTTGTAATATTCTTCAATTCATAACTTTCATGCCATTGACATTTCCCAGCTCAAACAATATTCATCTAATACATTTTTAACTGCACTGAAATCGAATTATCAGCCACAAAGTGAATGTGAAAAATAATATGAAATATCGATTGAAAACAACGCTAAGGAATAGTTTTGCAAGCTAAAGTAAATTCGTAAAAAAAAGCAGCAAGAAGTCAACTTATTTCATGCAGCTATCACAAACTCCGAACAGCACAATTTCTTTTATCTACTTGACCTTTGACTGTAGTACTGTGTTGTGTGTGTGTGTGTGCAAGGAATAAAAGCAGCAACGTCGACTAAAATAACAATGTGAAGATTTATGCGCTTCAAGGCGTAGATAGGACCAACTTAAGTGAATTTAACTTTCATATCAGAATGCCAGAGTATCAAGTGGCGGACATGTGTGTCCCAAAGCGAGGAAAAACCAATAGCATACAAATAACCAAGTGCTAACCGCCACCACATGCGACAAGTTAAGCTGTCAACAGTCGTCGCACATACAACACATAGATACATACATACATAGATGCATACACAGTATTACCACCCTGGCAAATCTAACACACCCCTACACATTTATACTTGCCCAGCAATATCATGGTAAATTTAAACTCGTAGAATACATCTCAAGATACCAACAGCTAACAGCTAGTCACGCAGCAGAAAATGTTTGGCGTTCTCATTGTTGCATATTGGATCATAGTGTTGCACAAAGCCCGCAAATTGCATTTAACATTGCATGTTATATTTTGTGTTCTTTGTTGCGATTCCTTTTCAAATTGCCATCAAGCTTGGCTCAAAGTTTTCGATCATTGTTGACATTTCGCTCTCATTGCCTTAGGGCTCAACTATTTAACTGATCAAGTGTCTAATATATATAAACATATATATACATATATTCTTTTGTATTTCTTTCTTCTTCTCTTTCGCGTGTGCTCTTTAAATAACAAACAAACAAATAATTGTATTTATCTCTATAATTATCTATGTAATATTCTTGGGTAAAGTTTGCATACTGCACGGATATTGTAAGTCAAACCACACGGAAATATCCAAACGATAACGTTTATTTCATAGCAAACAAATTACATGTTTACCCAACTAATTTATACAATTTACTAAAATGCGGCTGCACAATATTTTTACTTGAACACTTTTGCAGACGATGCACAGCCTAAAATGCGCTTTAGTCTTTCACCACCGCCATCGAAAGTCAGCCTAACCTCACCCACCAGCGCCACCAGCAACAACAACAATAGCACCACTACCAACGGCAAGCAGCTCAGCCGGAGTCGCAACAACAACAACATGCTGAGCTCCTCGACAGCCAGCATCGCTGACGGCACAGACGATGCTGCGTCGGATTATAATCAATGGCTGCACGCCATGAAATTGGTAGCTCGGTTGCCTGGCGGTACACCACCAGAGTTCCGGCGCAAGGTAAATAAGAACAAGCCCACACTCGGAGAAAAAAACGTTATTCTTAATTCAAGTGCAACCAGTAAAGAAATTTAATCTTGTATTATGCTTAAAACCTCGAAAATTCTTAAATATGTTTCCATTAAGAGGGTGTCCAGCTTCTCGTACAATCGTAATGAGAGATTGTAATTATTCCATAAATTTTAATGGAGGTGGAGGGGACAGCTCTCTTACCTTAAGTTCTCAAGTTCATCGTAAGAAAAATTCATGAATCTAGTAAAGAATACTTATGAACAGAGTTTTTGGTATTAAAAAAGAAAAGAAATTTTTTTTTATTTCCATTTAGGAAGCTTTAATCTTGATTCAATCCGATTTAGTTTTTATTTTACTTACGAACATGTTAAAGGAATCAAATCATTATGAATCGAGAACTATCATTATAAAATTCAAAACTCCTTTTCAAAATAGAATTTCTTTCACTGGTCTTGTAATTTTGCCCTTGACCTGACTTTGACAACTTTTATACTTGAATTGAGTACAAACTTCTCCAGTTTATTTTTTTCTGAGTGCAATGTCAATTATCCTTTGGTATTTTAATTAATCCTCTGTGCTGCCCACAGCTGTGGCTGTCACTCGCGGATAAGTATCTAAAGTTGAAGAACGTGGACTGGGCTGAGCAACGCGAGAAATGCTTCTGCGAAGAATGGCGTGAGGATGATGAGGAGCTGGGCATTCAGATAGTCAAGGTAAGGCAGTAACTGGCATTTATGCAAGCAACAAGGTTCAACAAACTGCTTCTTGATAGGATCTACACCGCACGGGCTCCAATCTGTGCACTGGTCCCGCAGGTTCCATCAACCAGGCGAAACTCAAACGCATACTGCTCGGCTATGCACGCTACAATCCCGAGGTGGGCTACTGTCAGGTGAGTGTTTAACCCTTTAACCTCGTTTTCTTGTTATTGCCGCTTAAATGCTGACAACAATTATAATGACTACTGCATCAACATAGGGTTTCAACATGTTGGGCGCGTTAATACTGCAAGTAATGGACAAGGAAGAGGAGGAGTCCATGAAGGTCATGATATATTTGGTTGAGGGTGTTCTGCCCACGGGCTATTTTTATGGTTCGATGGGCGGCCTTCAGGCGGATATGGGCGTATTTCGAGAGCTAATGCAAACAAAGCTACCCCGTTTGGCCAAACATCTGCAGCGACTGCAGGGACCCGTGGAGAACGCCTACGAGCCGCCGCTTACCAACGTATTCACCATGCAATGGTTCCTCACCATGTTCTGCACTTGCCTGCCCATGTCCTGTGTGCTACGTGTCTGGGATCTGGTACTCATTGAGGGCAGCGATGTGCTGCTACGCACGGCCCTCGTTCTCTGGAGTCTGCTAGAAGAGTGAGTAAAGGGGACCCCAGACATTTGAGGGAGGTGGGTGAGGGTTTGGCAATTTTGTCAGTGTCGACGTCTGTTTTCTGTTTTCTATTGGCCTGCAGTCAAAAAATTTGTGTCAAGGCTTCTGGCCGTTGCAAGGTTGCTGGCATCTGCCAAAACTTTGGGCGCTTGCCAAATGCAATTTTACTGTTTGTTGAACAAATTTCTGTGCTGTTGCAAAAATCATCGCAAGATATAAGCATAATATCATATATTGTATTTTTGGTTACAATATCACAATCTCTAAAAAAAAAAACATTATACCACAAACATTGGGAACTGCGTTGAGATGCGATTAAAGATGTATGGTTACTTTACCAACTTGATATCCTAATTATCTCTTAGAGTTCTTAGAAGTAAGCTTATTAGTTGTTATCGTGTACCGATTTTGCTATTTCAAGGAAAAATAACCCACGCGCAGTTTGCATGATTTATTTCCGCGCAAATTAAGCAGCAGCACAAATAATATTTCAAAAGCAAACTCTGAAATTCGTTGAAAATATTTTGCTTAGCAGAATGTAAGGTTAAGGTTCAGATTGCTGTAAATAGAGCCCAAACCACAGTACTGTGAACACTTTGATGTCGTTGTAGCTAATTTCGAACCCCAATTCTCAATAATTCAAAATGAATTTAATAAATTCTTTCAGCAAAGCAGAGTTTTAGTAATTTCTAAAGAATTTTAAGCATTAAAATGTTCTTTTTGAGTAATTTAAATTTCTGAGAATTTTACACTCTAACGATCCGCTTTGTTATTGATTACTCAGAGTAAATAAAAACTGAAAAAAATTGTATTCGATTTAGCTGATAACTAAACTTCTATAATAATAAATAATTACTTAGCAAAAATGTGAACTACGAAATATTAAAAAGAAAATATTGAAAATGGTTGCAGTTGAAAATTATAATATGTTTGCTGGCTTTAAAAACGCCAGCGAATTTTGGCAACCTTTTTGTAGGTCTTACAAAATAAGCAACAAAATAAAACCGCGAAAATAAGCTTAGACCACCTAAAGGATTGATATCAAAATTTACTTAAGTAATTAATTATTGTATGTATTATTTTATTTTTCAATTTTACAGACGCGTTTTGAATGCACGCACGGCCGATGATTTCTATGGCAAAATGGGCTCTTTCTCCAATGAGCTGCTGAATGGACACTTAATTGATTCCAATGGACTTATCGAGAAGGTGGTGCAGCTGGGACCAATAGCCGACATCAAGCAGCTGAGGGACAAGCATCTGTACAACATTGCGCCGCTGGGTAACAAACAAGGATTGCAGTAAGCATCAGATTAACTACGCTTTGCCAAAAGCAACAACTTGATGGTATTTTCATCGTTTTGCAGACTGTATTATGACGACGAAGATGCGCACTCCGATGAAGAGTCACGTCTGGCGGTGGCCACTGTCTTTGGCTTGAACTGGGGCAGACGTGGCTCAGTGGGCACAGCGGCACCTGTGGCAGGGAAACCACACACCGAACAGAAGGATCGCCTGGCATTGGACATCTCGTTGCTCAAGAAGCAATACGATCGGCTGCGCGAGCGCCAGAAGCAGGCCCATGTCATACTGACCACCGCTTGCTCCACAGCGACTGCAGTGCGTCAAACGCCGTCCAGCAATGTGCCAGTCAATCAATTGCTGCTCGGCCGCCCAGCCATCGTGACCAACAAGGGCAATCGTGTTGGGGCTCCTCTGGGTGCCATTCCGCCGGCTCGTAAGCCTTCGTTGCCGGCAGTTCTTCATAGCAAGCCCGCTGCAGAGCGGCAGCTCAGACGTGGAGAGACGTTGCTGTGGCGGGACACGGATGCCACACGGCATCGACGCGACAGCCTGACATGGAAGGAGATTAAAGCAGATCGTGCGGCCATGTTACGGGACGGAGCTGAGCCAAAGACGATCAAGACTCAGAAGTTGCGTTCGCGCTTGGGAAAGAGCGATAGCTCATCGTACAGTGAGGACAGCGATGGTGATCAAGATGTGGAAGAGAAAGATGGCTCTAGCACAGACACAAGTCTGTGTGATGATGATGATCCCAAATCGATGGAGCAGAGTCCCAAACGCAAGGCGAAACAGACGCGCAAACACAGAGAGAAACCAAAACTGGCCGCAACGAAAGATAGCAGTTTGGAACGGAGACGACCCAAATCCTGGGCACCGGCGACTCATGAAATACCCTTCATGCTGATGGGCACTGACAGTGGCGATGAGAAGGAGCCGGAGCCCAAGGCAGAGAACGATGACGAGGATGGGGAGAACAGTGCCACCGAAAGCGGTCGCTTCGGCTATTCTCGCGACATAAATTGGTCGCAGGCAGCCGGAGATCTGGCTTCCAGCAAAGTGGAGCCACTGCACATTGACACATGTCCCCTGTCAATTACCAGTATTGCACAGCTGTCTCCACTACCCGATATTGCCAGCTACCTAAGCACGACAAGCATTAGTCCACTGCCAACGCCGAAGCCAGTATATGTGATGTCGGAAATCGAATCAATCAATCCCAGCTCTGATGTTGCTGATGCTGCACAGCTTATGGAAGGAAAGGAAGGAGGCCCCTTCGAGCGGTACGATGTCAGCGATGATGGCGTAACCAATCAGTATTTTGAACGCGTCAATAGTGTTGAGCGTCCAAAGAGACTTGAGCTCGCGTACTCCTTAAGCGTGGATGACTTCGAAGTGACTACCGCCAAGGAGGAGCAGCGGGCGCTGGTGGAAGGCCAAAGTGCTGGACATGTACCAAAGGCCATGCCGTTCGTGCCTCCAGTTGAAGCCTCGCTAGAACTGATAGGGGAAACGCCACAGATACGCGATGACAACATTCCGGGCGAAAACAAGGACGACTACAAGGAGTTGCTAAGCATGACGATAGTGCCGGCAAAGCCACCAATTACCGCCATCATGAGCAATGCCAGCCGCAAACGTCGAGATCCACGACGCAAAACACTGACGAGATCCTCGACGATTGAGTTGGAGGAACGATTTCAGGCACTAGAGAAACGACTAAGTCAAGATCACAGTGATACAATGGAGGGCACAAAGTACATTCCGACCACAGAGGCGCTAGAGGAGCGCTACAATACCCTGGAAAAGCAGCGCAGCGTGGAGAAACAACGATTGGAAGAGGATCCTGAACCAATTGCCGACTGTTTTGAGAAGCCCGAGCCGAGAATACCCTCGACGGCTGCTCTCGAGATGCGTTTTAATGCCTTAACCAAGCAAATGAGTTCCAATGAATCGAATCCCAAGACGCCCGTGGAGTTAAGAGATCAGGAACAGCCAAGTGGCAGCAGCGCGAAAGAGGGAAACGCTGAAGAGAAATCAAATAAACTTGAAAATACAGAGAAAACACAGTCGGATACAAAACAACCTGCGAATAAAGGCGAAAAAACTGAACATGAAGAAACTGAAAGTCAAGATGAAAGGGAGCAACCACGCCTCAAGAAACTGCCTTCAACAGCCGAACTTGAAGATCGCTTCAATGCCTTAGAACGAAAGATGAGCGTGCAAAAAAGCAGCCCGGCAAAAGCAAAAAAAGAGCCACCCGATGGGGAAGTGGAAAAGAGTAAAGAGCCTCCAGCGAAAGTTGAGTTGGATAAAGCTCAAAGCGATGAGACAACAACTAAAGTGGATAAAAGCATTAAATCAAAATCAGCAGATGCAAATGAACAGCAAAGTTCACAAGAAGATAGACATGGAGACAAAGATCAAGAAATTAAACAGATCAGAACAGAGGAGAAACCGCAAACCCCAACGAAGGATAGAAATGACACCCAAAGCGACAAAGCCCAACCTGCCAAAAGCAGTCCATCAACAAATGCCGAGGACTCCAATGAAGTCGAGGTAGTCAAACGCAAAACACCACCATCCACAGAGGAGCTTGAGAAACGATTCAATGCCTTGGAAAAGCAGCTCAGCACCACAAACATAGAGTCCAGTGATGATGCACAGCCAGGCAGTTCCTCTAAGCCCAAAGAAACGAAGCCAGAAGCAAAAGTGCAATCTGTAGAAAATGAAAAACAACAAGAGAATAATATGGAAAAAGAAGTTAAGGCTGTAAAGTCCATTAAGTCATTTGATGATAAAGTTCAAGCAATAAGTGCATCCTTATCTGACGAAAAGCAGACCAGTAAAGAAACTGTAGTTTCAGACGAAACAGCTGAAGCCAAATGCAAGACAGATACAAATTGCCTGGAAACCGAAGACCCGCCTAAATCAATTGAAATTAATGCAAATAGTAAAATCGCTACCAAATCAGAGCCCGAAAAAGATTTGAAAGCTGAGCAACCAGAGCTGAATAAAAGGCGAGCCTCCGAGCCACCATCTATGGAGGATCTGGAGAAACGTTATGAGAGGCTCAAGCGTCGGATGAGTGCCAAAAATCATTTTGCTAACCAAAATGAAACTGTGAACGAGGCACTGGAACGCATCGAGCAAGAAGTAATTGCCGAACTGGGCGATACGGCGGAGGCGGAGCAGGAGGAGGTGCAGAAGCCAACTAAAAAAAAACAGCCACCCACAACTGAGGATTTGGAGAGCCGCTACGAAGCGCTGCATGGCAAGGATAAGAAAGCAGCTGCGACCAGTCCAAAACCAACGATCAAGTCGCCTCCTCATCGCGTAGATGTGGCCATTGAGGCGCATATACCCGAACCGCCACCACCACCACCCGTTGAGCATCGGATTATTATCGATCCGGGACAGCATCAGCAGCGCGCCCTCATCGAAGAGCTGCAGAGCAAAATGGAAGGCCAATCGCCTGGCGAGGAGAATCTGAAGCCGAGCGATATAAATCCACAACGCAAGCGACGGCAACAAGAGCAACAGCTGCAACAGCGACCCACACCCATGGGTGATGAGACCTCGGAAGCACCTGCAAACACCGCTTACTACAGATCGGGAAATTACGAACCCTGGCCCGAACATCGGATGGTTCGTCGTTTCTCCGATTTGCCATCGAGAGCAGATCTGGAAAATCGTTTACAATTCTTGGAAAAGAAATTGTTCAAGAGATTCTACAAGCAGCGATGTGCAAGTGATTCCGAAGTTGCATCAAGGACGAGCAGTTATGACGACAAGCCGAGCACCTCGCACCACGCGGAGGCACAGCTGGAACAGCGCGTCCTGGCCCTGGAGAAGCAGCTGAGCGAAAACAGTCTCAAGCTGCTGGAAGCTATTCGTCAAAAAGAAAAGGAAAAGGAGAAAGAAAAAGAAACGGAAAAAGAAAAGGAGAAGACTCCACCAAATAGAGAAGACAGCTGCTCTTCGCCACGTCGTCTGAGCACGGACACCGAAACGGGCAAGGAGCTGGTGCGCTACACACAGAACATAAGTGAGCTGGAGGAGTCGGACAAACCCATCAACATAAGCATCAATATTAAAATGCTGCTCAACAAGGAAAGCGAGCACAAAAAGCCACCAACAGAGCCCACCACAGATGATTTGAGACGGCGCTTGGAGCAGCTCGAGCAGCAGTTGATTGAGGAGCGTGCCAGAAATGGCATAATCATCCCGGATTGCGAGTTGACCACCGATGATTTGCTGCAGCTGCCACCCGAGCAACCTGAGGAGAGTGAAGCATGCAAGAAGCAGGAAAAAGATAGCCACAATCAGAGCGTCAAGTCTGACGAAGCTGAGAAATTGGAGGAGGTTCCATTACCATCGGAACATAGCCATGAGCCGGAAACGGTTAAGGAAACCAAAACCTTGCAAAATGAAGAAAAAGCGCAGACTCGCAGCAAAGAAACCGAGGCAGAAACCCCAATTAAAGAAGAACAACAAGTAGAAGCAAAAGCTGCCAAGCCAGAAAGCAAAGTGGAAAAGATGACTTCCCCTTCAATTCCTAAACAGGAAGCCAAAATGGAAAAGACGACGTCTCCTTCAACTGAACAGGTGGAAACTCCCCCGGCTCCTGCCAAAGTTGACTCCCCAAAAGCCAATGCTGAGAAACCAGAAACTGTCAAAGATAAACCTACAGCAGATGCCGAATCAAATAATGAATCAGTCGCAAATCAGGTCATCAATGCCTGTGAGATAGGCCCCGTGGATTCGAATAACAAAACTGTGGTCCTTCTAATGGACAATGAACCAAAGGCATTGAAAGTTCGCCGCTTGACCAGAGCCAACACTGAGGAGCTTGAGGGACTGTTCCAAGCACTTGAAAAACAGCTCAGCGATCGCAATCTGGTCAAATCGAAAGATGGTAAATTGGTTCGTGTCGAGAGCAAACCATCTGCAGAGCAGGTTGAGCAGGCACAAGCCATATCCGATCTGACCAAAGAAATTGAAGACTTTACGAGTGGCAAACCGGAGCCAGAACCAACAACAGAACAAAAGGATGAAAAGACAGTCGAAGATGAACCGAACTATGACTGGGGGCCGAATCCAGTGAAGCACCACTTGAAGCGCAAAACAGTCTATCTGCCCTCGACCAAAGAGCTGGAGGCCCGATTCCGCTCGCTGGAGCGCCAAATCAAACTTCTCGAAGACGTTGAGAAGATCGATGTGGAGCATAGACTGTGTGAAATCGAACGCAAGATCAAGTTGCAGTACTCGTTGTCGCATGAGAAGGATCTCAATAAGTACCTGGAGCTGTGCGAGGGCAAAGGTTTAGACGACGATGAACCGGCGCCCGAGCCAACTTCTCCAGTCGGCGAACGTTCACGCAGCCCCGCTCGCAAGCAGGCAACGAAATCACCCTATACTTCTCCATCTCGCAAGGCTTCGACAAAGTCGCCATATGTTTCGCCCTCACGTAAATCCAAATCGCCTTACACTTCCCCAACGCGCCAGGCCCAAAAGACGCCACACACATCGCCATCGCGCAGCGCCACCAACAAAAAGAGTCCCTATACATCGCCATCAAGACGCCAGCCGCATAAGGATGATCTACCCATCTCAGATGACTTGGAGTACAAATATCGTGTACTTGACTTAGTGCGCTCCAAGTCCAAGGACAATCTGGCGAAGCGCAAGAATGATCCCAACAAAAAGCCGCCCATTCATCCGCTTGAAATGCTGCTCGACTCGAGTCCGGACGACAGTGAAATACCCACAACCGGTCAGTTGGAGCATCGCATACGCATCCTCGACGGGAAATTGAAGTCGCCCTCGCGACACAAGTCACGTTCTCGTTCCCCGACTATCGATGACATCAAGCGGAAGAAAATGTTAGATGATCAGCGACCCAAGACACCGGTGCACAACCTGGAACGCTTGGTCTACTCGCCCAGCAAGCCTGAGCCACCGACTGCCGAGGAGCTGGATCAACGCATACTTGCACTAGAAAAGGATCATTGTTTCGATTTTAAGACCCAAAAGGACTTCAAAGAATTCAATCAAAAGCTTAAGAATGTAGTTTCGCCCTCGCTCTCCTACGAGGAGTTCAAAGCGGCCAAGTCGCGTGAACAGAGCCCCCGACGCCAAGCCCCCACAACGCCCAAGTCAGCAATGCGACGCGATGATAGCGATGAATATCGCGACTATCGACGTGAGGAGACGACGACCTCGTATCGGCCCACCAGCCCCAAGGTCATACGCTTTCGTGACGAGGACGAGGACTACTTTGAGGAGAAGTGGCGACCCAAGTCCCGTCAGGGTCTGGCCAGCGAACGAATGGTGGGCAACACAACTCAAGTTTTAGCCTTTATCAAGGAGAATACTAAAATTCTACAACGTATTCTTAAGAAGACTCTTGCAGATCAGCCAGCTAGTCGCAACTACAGCAGCACCACCTCCACCAGAGCGGCGAGTGCCAAAACATCAGAGGGTCTCGATGAGTTGGGGTGTCGCCTGATGCGGGTAAGTCCGATGACTGATGAGTGTTTGCACGACTTTCTTATCAACCCACTTATGCATCCCAAGGAAACGTCGCCAATCACACGGACTGGAACACATACGGGCGTACCGCTGCGCACAGCGGACAACATCAACGAACGCTTGAGTTCCATCAAGAACAGCATCAAGTCGATTGACAGCTTGTGCGAGGAGAAGTCCTATCAGAAGGAGAAATGTCAGCGCTATATTGATTCCCTTTTTTCGGACTCAACGTACTTTGCCAGCAAGAAGAGCTCCGCCGAGGATCTAACGCACAGCCGGAGCGAGAGTCGTGGACGTGGAACGCAACGTGGCAGTGACTATACTCCGGTCATACGCATCAGCTCCGAGCATCGCTCGCTAGGTTCCGTGGAGTCGCTGCGCACGGGCAGCCCATTGCGTGGGATCAGCCCACCGCATCATCGTTCGCACCGGGATATTAGCAGGGAGTTGTCGCCGAATCGTAGCCGTCGCCGGGAGGCCGAGGAAGAGCTCGAGGAGCGCGAGAGTAGTAGGGTAAGACGTGATAATATGTTGCCAAATTATTTTGTCGATAATCGTAGTGAACTAAGTAGCGCCAGTAGTTTAACTAAGTTTCATAAAGTAGATAGACAACTAGAAGAAACCTGCGCCAAGTACGCCGATGACAGACGATCGGCCTGCAAATCGCCATTGAGCTCACCATACGAGTCCAGAACAACAGGCACACGCTACAACAGCAACAACACCACAACAGCAACAACAACAACTCAAAACGCTGCCGTCGATAATTTTACTAGGCCCATATCGCCCTATCGCCAGCCCTATGAACCATTGAATAGGTCGACACGCTCCAACACGCCCGTCTATCAGCCAGCCAAGCTGGAGATTCGGCATACCACGGTGACCTCGACATTCTACGATCGCTTTCTGACCGAGCGACAAATTGAGAAGCAAACCCTGTCGCGTCCACCAAGCCGTTCCCCCGTTGTCTCACCATCGGCAACAACCAAAAGCTACACCGATCTTCCCGGCACTCTGGCTGCCAACAAATATAGCCTGGATGTAGCCACCACAAGCAGTTATTCCACCTCGCCGATGTCACGCAGTTATGCGGGCAGCAGCAGCAACTATTCATATCTCACCACAGTTGGCGAAGCACCAGTAGCTTCTAGCAGCTCTCATGCCCCACTGCTTAGTGCTGGCTCTGGTGGCAGTGCCACCGATCTTCGCTTGCGCAGCTATGAAACCATTCCCACCAGCAGCACTGCAAGCACCGTTATACCATCATATTCAAGTGCATCGGCCTTTACACCCTACAATTTCACTAGTTCATTTACCAGTCGCCTGGGCGATCCCATAGCAACCACCAGTTCTGTCGTCTCTAATCTCAGCTCCGGTTCTCACTCATATTCCACTGGCGTTTACAATCCCATGATGTCATTCACATTGCGAGAACCATCGATAAACACCAATAGCAGCACTTTATTGGGTCAGTATCAATTCAAAAGTGGCTTGAGCACCACGAACTACAGCTCGTCTGGATCAAAGAGCGAGCCAGATAAGCCATAAGCTTCTCAATCTCAATTAATCCAAGGTTGTCCTTTCTTAACGCATAACCATGTCATCTACTCAACCTGCAGCACAAGCTCAAACTAATTACTTTATGCTTACAAATTTACTCAACGTTACAAAATCGAAACTTTAAAACCCTCAAGCAATATATATATATATATATATATATATATATATATAATACACATATATAATTCTCGTCAAATTTAATGGGCAACAGTTTTTACACATACTCAAAAATATACGGCTAGGGGCACCTTTATCTACAAAATGTTATCTATAAAGATATCTATTAAATATACATATTTAAATACATACATTTACACTCGAAAAGAAAACAATTTAAGAAAATCTCTTGCACCAAAGCATTCTGGCTTCTTGCAATTACCTCATCTACTTTCAAGGCACCAATCAATGTAACTGATCATAGAAAAAAGAAAAACAATTTTTATACTACAATATAATCTTACTAAAAATACTATTTAAACTATAAACTATGAAACTTTTTAGCGCTGTATTAAATGAAATTCTTTAACGAACACTGCATTAACTCTCAATTATTGAATTGTATTCCTTCTTAACAAATTTCAATTTCGTAATATTTATGAAACCAAAAATGTTGGCACAGATATTTTGTGACGGGTTAGTTAAGACGCTTCAATTGTTCGTTGACTGACAGAGAAAAACGTTAGTTAAATATACATATATACATATATATAGATACATATACACACTACACATATATACAAACAATTAATTATACAAACAGATATACTTATTATACATAGATATATATATATATATATATACTATACTTGCATACCAATTACAGTTGGTGACTTTCAATTCAGCAAATACGATTTCGAAAACGGCTAACAATAAGCAAGTGAAACAAAATGCAAATGGCTTCAAAAATTATTACTACACCAAGCAAAGAAACAAAAAGTTAATCAAAACGATTAGAAAAATTTTATGACAACGCAAACGGAGTTCATTTACATGCATAGATATTATGTTATGGGCCAATCAGTTGAGTGGCAACCAACAATATTATTAATATTACATACTCGTACACTGATATGTACTATTAAATGCAATTGTTAACAGATCGTGCAACAAACAAACATACTACATATATAAGTAGGCAAAAAAAAATGTTTTGAGCTTCAGTTAAAATGAACAAAACAAAATCAAACAAATTATGCAAAAATTTAATATTGATAATGTTGTTTTTTCCCCCCGTTTTTATGTTTTGTAACTTGTTGAAACTTTTTGTAATACTTATTTGTTAATGTTGAAAATTTGTCAAAATATTGGATATATAAAATATTTTTGTTACAAAATGGAATGTAATGTCTTTGATTTGATTGGAAAAAGCAACAAATAAACGAGTAATGCATTTAATGCATGCGCATTGAAAAAGCAGCAAACCATTTGTTTCCATTGGGCAGGGTATGGATGGATATTGATGAAACATTTGCCTCTCTATCTCTCTCTCTCTCTCTCTCTCTCTGCCAAACCGGAGCTGTACAGCATCTCTACAGATAGTGACAAGCTCGAGCTGGGTTTTATCAGCTCTAATCGAACAGTCGCCACTTGACAGCCGTGTGGATTGGACGTGCCAGGAGAGAGAGCAGCTAGTGTCTCATTAAATTGTTAATAATTTTCGCTTTAGGTTTCCCATTTTAACTGTGACAAAAAATGCAACGTTTTGTGACCAAACGCAGCTGCAGCCTTGTGCTGAGATTCCACAATCGTTGCCTGGCCACCACACCTGTAGAGGATGTACTCTTTCCCACCAAATCCGATTTTCCCAGTCGCCATATTGGTCCACGCAAAACGGATGTGGTTGCCATGCTGGATACCCTGGGCTTTAAGGTAACGCACACAGCAGCTCAATCGTTAGGCAGCCACCACATTTAATGTTGTTCTTAAACAGTCCCTGGCTGAGCTGACCGAGAAGGCTGTGCCACAGAGCATCCAACTGAAGCGGGATCTGAGCCTGGACAAGCCTCTGAGTAAGTTGTGAAAATGTGTCCAAAAATAGCCAACTACAACGACACTTGACAGTCTGAGACCCCCTGGCGTGTTTTTGGCCTGATAAGCGATAAGCCCGGTTCAAAAGGTCCGCCGGCTACAGCTTATCAGCTGCTGCTGTTATTGGGTTCTCCGCGTTGTCCATCAAAATAATATTTTTCCATTCAATTTAATTGTTTGTTTGAAAGCTGCTACAACACATACATGATATTTCTCTACAGCATCAGCTGGGTTGCTTCCATATTATATCATAATTTCACTTTCTCTAGGTAGATAAATATTGATGAGCATAGTAAAGAAATAAAATGAAGATATTTTCTAAAAATCTTTGGATTATCAAGATATCTTAGGCGAAGTCTTCAGTTATGATTGTTATTATTGTTAATAATAATAATGTAATAGATTTTATTATTGTGCACTTATAATATGCTCAGAAAAAGGGACCAACATTTTTACTACTACATCATACAAATCCACAGAAACAATCTGGTAGTTTTTATACCACCCTCGTTGATTCATTCAATGATTTTTAATTCAGTGAAATTTAATGCGAATTGTTATTATTTTCTGGGTTGAAGAGTTCAGATTTTTAAATCCTATTCAATTTAGTTTTAATAACTTATACTTTGTGTTACATTTGTCGTCTTTTATAATTAGCGAAAAGATCTTCTACAAAACATTGTTTTATTTAACAGTTTAGTTTAGTTAATACTACTTAATCTAATTTTACATAATCATTTGGCTTATGTGCTTAAAAGTTAAGTATCTACAGTTATCATGGCAGTTGAGTCGCTATCATTTCAAAATTGACTTTAGAGTGCAAGTCTGATGTGGAATGATACTAAGGGAGCTTAATAAACAATTTTAATAATTTAGTTTGGGCAGTTTGAAATTTTTAACTGGCAAAATATGTCCAAACTGTGATAGCATAGAAAATAACTTATATTTGAATCCATTGAAAGCAGGCTACTTGGATAGCATTCTAAAATTCATGCGATAAGTTATTAATCTATCGAGTTTAATAAATTCTGCTTTTAAAAGGTAAAAGGATAAATCAGATATTAATGCACAGTTCTCAATAATTTAAATTATTTTCTGCTTTTGTTAAAAAATAATGTTACTGAAATCTTGACAGTACGAATACTTAAATACCCTTCTACTTGTTATATATAGTCATATCTCGATCTTTACATTACAGATGAGCATGAGTTGATACAACGCATCCGTGAAATTTCTCAGAAGAACCAGTTGTGGCGCTCGTACATTGGCATGGGATACCACAACTGCCATGTGCCCCACACGATTTTGCGCAATATTTTCGAGAATCCCGGTTGGACGACACAGTATACGCCGTATCAGCCCGAGATTGCACAGGGTCGTCTCGAATCGCTGCTCAACTATCAGACACTCGTCTCCGAGCTGACCGGCCTGGATGTGGCCAATGCCTCGCTGCTGGACGAGGGCACAGCGGCAGCGGAGGCAATGTGCCTGGCCACCAGGCACAACAAGCGGCGGAAGCTCTACTTGTCGAACAAGGTGCATCCGCAGACCTTGTCGGTGGTGCAGACACGTGCCGAGGCCCTGGAACTCGAGATTGTGGTCGGTCCCATCGAGAAGGCGGATCTGCCCAGTCGCGAACTGGCTGGCATCCTACTCCAATATCCCGATACATATGGCGATGTTAAGGACTTTGAGCACATTGCAGCACTGGCTCGCAAAAATGGCGTAAGATTTGTTTAATAAAGATTTCATTTTAATTTAATTTGTTGAATAACAAATGCATCTATATATATATGTATATAGATCCATCTAGTATGATCAGCAAAGATTGTTGGTATCTCCCTCAATTAGAGCATTCTTGCTTGTTATTCTTATTATTTATTTACTTAAAACTATTATTATATTATTATTATTTATAAACACTTATACTTTCAGACACTGGTGGTGGTGGCAACTGATTTACTTTCGCTTACCCTGCTGCGGCCGCCTGCTGAGTTTGGGGCAGACATTGCCATCGGCACATCCCAGCGAATGGGCGTTCCACTGGGCTATGGTGGGCCCCATGCCGGCTTCTTTGCCTGCAAACAGAATCTGGTGCGCCTGATGCCGGGTCGCATGATTGGCGTCACCCGCGACATGGACGGCAATGACGCCTATCGCTTGGCGCTCCAGACACGAGAGCAGCACATTCGCAGGGACAGGGCAACGAGTAACATTTGCACCGCTCAGGCGCTGCTGGCCAATATGTCGGCCATGTATGCCATTTACCATGGCCCCGAGGGACTCAAGGCGATCGCCAATCGCATCCATCACTTTGCCCTGACGCTGCAGACGGGTCTGCTGGAGGCGGGGCACGAGGTGATCAACAAGAATTTCTTTGATACGCTGCATGTGCGTCTTTCCGCCGATTTCACGCTGGACGATCTGAGGGAGCGCACCGAGCACAAGCGCATCAATTTGCGTTACTTGAACGATGGTACTGTGGGCGTGGCACTGGATGAGACGGTCAGTGTGGCGGATGTGAATGATTTGCTGTGGACCTTCAAGGCGCCAACCAGCGTGGAGGATCTGTTGGCGCGCAAGGATGTGCTTAAGAACTCCATTGAGAACTCCAAGTTCCTTCGCACATCGCCGTTCCTGCAACATCCCATTTTCAACAGCTATCACAGGTAAAAAGTCCATAAAACTTATAACTATTTAGAAATATATCTCTGAGAAATAGAAAATATTTCCGTATATTTGAAATATTGGAAATATTTTTAAGTTTGAGGTGCGTTTCCAAATTAAAAGAAATTTCAATCGTCAAACTAAAAACTATTTCTGGAAACCAGGAGAACTTATTGGTTTTTAGATGATTTTTTCCAAAATTAATATTTAATATATTTAATATCGACAGTGAATCCCGCATGGTGCGCTATATGAAGAAGCTGGAGAATAAGGATATCTCATTGGTGCACTCGATGATTCCACTCGGCTCCTGCACCATGAAGCTGAACTCAACGACTGAAATGATGCCCTGCTCATTCCGACACTTCACCGATATTCATCCGTTTGCGCCCGTGGAACAGGCGCAGGGCTTCCATCAGATGTTCAACGAACTGGAGAAAGATCTGTGCGAAATAACCGGCTACGATAAGATATCATTTCAGCCCAACTCTGGCGCCCAGGGCGAGTATGCCGGACTGCGTGCCATTAGGAGCTATCATGAGCATCGCAACGAGGGTCATCGCAACATCTGTCTGATACCCATTTCTGCCCATGGCACCAATCCAGCATCGGCTCAGATGGCTGGCATGAAGGTGAGAACTCATCCATCTACTAGATGATTCCTATATGAAGGTTGCTTCCGGCTTTGCAAGGGCTCAACTATCGTGTGAGTTTCTATACTCAGTAAGACACGTAAAAATGAAGCTGATAAGATAAAAAAGTTTCATACAACAGTATTTTTCTTTGAAATTTTCGATTATATTTTGCAAAATTGTACATTTACCTATTTTATACTTTTCTATGTATTGCTTTGGAAATGAGTTTGACACAAGTCGCACAAAGCAATTTAAATATCCATCTTCCAATCAGAAGTGAGATTAAGCAAAAAAAAAATGGTTTCAATTTTTAACAAATATTTATTTTGATCTCCGAAAATGATTTTGAACCCAACCCAAATAAATAATAAAAAACAACTTTATTTAGCAGTCTCCCATTAATTTTCCGATTGTCAAACGCATTTTAATTTTAAATATTCAAAACTTCCACTTTTCGAAAAAAAAAAAAAAATATTGTTCAACTTTTAAGCTGCTGAGTTTCGAAAGAGAAAACTATATTTAAAGGAACCCATATTCATAGTTTAATTTGTTGATATTTATTTTTTAATTTATTTTTATTTTTTGGGTTTTTAGCTATAACTCCTCTGTGAATGTTTTTGTTTCTAAATCAATTCTGATGACATTTTTGTTATGTTTCGTTTTTGATTTGCAGGTGGAGCCCATTCGCATTTTGTCCAATGGGTCCATTGACATGGCACATTTGCACGACAAGACGGAGGAGCATTCGCGTGAGTTATCCTGCCTGATGATCACATATCCCTCCACTATGGGCGTGTTCGAGGAGACTGTGGCAGACATTTGCAGCTTGGTGCATAAGCACGGCGGCCAGGTGTATCTGGACGGTGCCAATATGAACGCCCAGGTGGGTCTGTGCCGGCCCGGCGACTATGGCAGCGATGTCTCCCATCTGAATCTGCACAAGACATTCTGCATTCCACATGGCGGCGGTGGTCCCGGAATGGGTCCCATCGGTGTCAAGGCGCATCTGGCGCCCTATTTGCCAGGTCATCCGGTCATCAGTCCGCTAAGCAGCGAGGAGCATAGCTTTGGTGTCGTCTCCGCGGCACCTTTCGGCAGCTCGGCCATTCTGCCGATCTCGTGGTCGTACATCAAACTGATGGGCAGTCGTGGTTTGAAGAGAGCCACCCAGGTTGCCATCCTGAATGCCAACTACATGTCCAAGCGACTGGAGCAGCACTACAAGACCCTTTACAAGGCGGAGAACTCCCAGTTGGTCGCCCACGAGTTCATACTCGATATTCGGGATCTGAAGAAGACGGCAAACATTGAGGCTGTGGATGTGGCCAAACGTCTGATGGATTATGGCTTCCATGCACCAACTATGTCGTGGCCAGTGGCGGGCACATTGATGATTGAACCCACCGAATCCGAGGACAAAGAGGAACTGGATCGCTTCTGCGATGCAATGATATCTATTCGAGAGGAGATCGCCGAAATTGAGGAGGGACGCATGGACAAAGCGGTCAATCCGCTCAAAATGTCGCCTCACACACAGGCCCAGGTCATTTCGGAGAAGTGGAATCGTCCCTACACCCGTGAGCAGGCTGCCTTCCCAGCTGTAAGTGTTATTAGTCTAATCTGCAAATCAATAACTTATTCATATTAATTTATATATTTTCTGTTTCTCAGTTATTCGTAAAGCCTGATGCTAAAATTTGGCCAACTGCTGGCAGAATCGATGATGCCTATGGCGATAAGCATTTGGTGTGCACATGCCCTCCCATCTTGCCAGATTTGTAATTAAATGTCATAGAAATATATTAAATTAAGAACTCAATTACCTTATTGTGTCAAAAGCGAATCTTTTTTAATTTGTTTGTTGCAATTTTCTATTTACACTTAAGCAAATATAATAAATACATTTTAAAATTAGAACAATATATTTGCTTATTACAAAAAAAAAATAATAACTATAAATTAATTCAAGTTCTATAATTTTTTAAATATTATTGCCAAACTTTAATATTTAAATGCGCCAAAAGATATTTCTTCTTCTTTGACGAGGCATTCACAACGAGCTGCATAATCGATTACTCCCATGCATTTCGAAATATATCGATTTATCAACAAGCTCGTGTGCTCTGTTAGAGCACTGTTCAAATTTAATTACACTTTTCCTTGGTATAAATTAGCTGACAGCTTTAAAACCTTATTGCTATAAATAGATAACATAGATGACTACACTAAAGTGCTTTGAAAACTAATATAATTAGTTTTATTTAAAAATTACCGGTGATATTTGTTGCTCACTGTTAATAACAGCGGGGCAAATGTTAAGTTAAACGCCGACTGAAATAAACATATGTTGTTGGTTTGGTGACATTAAAAAAAAAGAAGCGTGCGTTGCGGCAAACAACAAATTTGTTTAATCAATACAAGTCACAGTTAGTTGACTTCAGCTTCGCATCGTCATCGTCACACAGAGAGTTTTCCCAAAAAAAATTCAAGGGAAATCATGAAAATCGAGGAAGTTAAGAGTACGGTGCGCACTCAACGCATTGCTGCCCACAGCCACGTGAAGGGATTGGGATTGAATGAGGAGGGCACCGCAATACAAAGTGCCGCCGGTTTGGTTGGCCAGAAGGCGGCACGCGAGGCAGCCGGCATTGTTGTTGATCTGATAAAGTCGAAGAAAATGGCCGGACGTGCTCTGCTCCTCGCCGGACCACCAGGCACTGGGAAAACTGCGATCGCCTTGGCCATTGCCCAGGAGTTGGGCAACAAGGTTCCATTCTGCCCGATGGTCGGCTCCGAGGTGTTCAGCAATGAGATCAAAAAGACGGAGGTGCTCATGGAAAACTTTCGCCGCTCGATCGGATTGCGCATCCGCGAGACGAAGGAGGTCTACGAGGGCGAAGTCACGGAGCTGACTCCCGTGGAGACGGAGAATCCCATGGGTGGCTATGGAAAGACCATTAGCAATGTGGTCATTGGCCTAAAAACTGCGAAGGGCACCAAGCAGTTGAAACTGGATCCGAGCATATTTGATGCCTTGCAGAAGGAGAAGGTGGAGGTGGGCGATGTCATCTACATTGAGGCGAATAGTGGAGCTGTGAAGCGTCAGGGACGCAGTGACACCTTTGCCACCGAATTCGATCTGGAGACGGAGGAGTATGTGCCGCTGCCCAAGGGCGATGTGCACAAGAAGAAGGAGGTCATCCAGGATGTGACACTGCATGATCTGGATGTGGCCAATGCTCGGCCGCAGGGTGGCCAAGATGTGCTCTCCATGGTGGGTCAACTGATGAAGCCCAAGAAAACGGAAATTACAGGTGAGCAGTGTGTGGAAATTCTCTAAGAGATCTATCATAATCTCAACATTTTGGTTGCTTGCTCGTTTTAGACAAGCTGCGTATGGAGATCAACAAGGTGGTGAACAAGTACATTGATCAGGGCATTGCTGAGCTGGTGCCCGGCGTGCTCTTCATCGATGAGATTCACATGCTCGATCTGGAGACCTTTACCTATTTACACAAATCGCTGGAGTCGCCAATTGCACCGATTGTCATCTTTGCCACCAATCGCGGTCGCTGCGTCATTCGGTAAGCCAAACGGTTGAGCTCTGTTTAAAGATTCGCTTAGAATTCGCTTTCGATTGCAGTGGCACCACCGACATAGTCTCGCCTCACGGAGTTCCCTTGGATTTGCTGGATCGCTTGCTGATCATTCGCACGCTTCTCTATTCCACCTCGGACATGGAGCAGATAATTAAGTTGCGCGCGCAGACCGAAGGACTCCAGCTGGAGGAAAACGCCTTCACGCGCCTCAGCGAGATCGGGACCAGCTCCACTCTGCGCTATGCCGTCCAACTGCTGACGCCGGCTCATCAGATGTGCAAGGTGAATGGACGCAGCCAGATCAGCAAGGATGATATTGAGGATGTGCATTCGCTGTTCCTGGATGCCAAGCGTTCGTCGAAACATTTGTCCGAGAAGAACAATAAGTTTATGTTGTAATTTTTACTCATACTCATTAATCATCCCATTTTGAATCCAATTCCATTTTGCATCATAATTTTGAATAAAGCTACGCAAACTATCGATTAACTGACATCGAGTATCAACAACAAAAATATCGCTTCTGAATTGCAGTTTACTCTCTGAGAGGCGGCTGTTAGTTAACATTTGTCTCACAATCGAACTAGTGGTGGCAGCCTGCCAGAGAATGTGTGTGTTCACTGAAAGCACATCTACTGTAATAAATAGACCATAAGTATGCCCCAAATCTGATTTATTTAATCATTACCCAAAGACTGATCTAACAGCGAATCATCTACTATTTTATTCGTATTAAGTCACATACACACAGATTTCGCTTCGTGAGCGATGCTCGTGCAAATTGTTTGGCACGCGCGCACCTCTACTCTGTTATTAAATGTCTCTCTTATAAGACACATTTAACAGAGTTTGGTTCAGTAACATTTTATATTTCGGTGCGTGCTCTGTGTTCCGCTTGTCGCTTTGATGTGTGTTTTTTAATAATTTACAAAGTTTCTGTTCGTGTCAATACAACACGCTCACGCAACTTAGTCACACACGCACGCACAACACACACATACACGCACATGGTTAAATCATAAGTAAGTGTCAAATTGTCGATTAAAATATTGAAAATAAAAAAGTTGTGGGCACAAAAAATACGCCGCCTCCAAAAGCGCAGCAATTAACCGTTAAAAGTTCATTACTTCTCACACATACGTGTGTATAGGCACATGTGTGTGTAAACGCCATATATATTTTGTGTGCCGCCAACGCAATAAGATTGCTTATGGTTATTTGAGTGCAAATCAAACGGTGCATTGTGTTTTGCTGCCAGTCAAAGCCTTCTTCATGGCTGCATATTAAGAAAATGGAAACATTTGGCGGCCTTTGGGTCAACGAGCAGCTGCAACAACAACAACAGCAACTACAAAACGACGGCAGCTAGAAGCTACCGCGTTTGAGAGGGAGAGAAACAGCAACAACACAGCAGCAGCAACAAACAACAAATATTAGACGGTAAGTGCGTATGTGTGCACGTGTAGTTGTGAATGTGCCTGTGGGTGTATTCTCGCCCATGTATGTATTTGTTTGCATGTGTGTGTGGGTGGAGGGCGAAAATTAGCGTTAGCATTGGCCACTGACTGTCTGTGTCTATGTGTGTATGTGTGCGTGGGTGCTCGTCATATTTTTTTTTTTTTTTTACATTAACTGTTATTATTATTTAAGTAGCACGCCAGCAAATTACATAATTTCTGTGTTTGCGAAAACGAAAGTGGCGCTAGGCAGCCAGCAACTGGCTACTGGTTTTTTTTTGATATTTTTCTTGCTGTCTTTTAATGTTTATTGTTGTTGTTGTTGCCGCGACTTAATTCTTATTGGAATTCTACGCTAGTTTTGCCGCTTGCTTTGTGCTCGCCTCGTTTACTTTGATGTTTATATTGTTGTTGTCTTATTGTTTGTTTTATTTATGAATGAGATTAGTGAATTTAATTGCAAGCATACGCTTTGATTTGATTTGATTTGTGCGTAACAGCTAATCTCTTGTCTCCCTCTCTCGCTCACTTGCATACGCAAGCGCAACTGGCTTTTGTGTCTGTTTTTCGCCGTAAATCAAATAAAGCACTGCAAAAAAAATATATATATATATATATAAATGTATATGTGTATTATGTACCCGTTTTCGACTTTAAACACAAAATCATTACATACGAATATATATGTACGAATGTATGTATAATTTTAAGGCGAACATTTTGGCTGAAATATTTAAACAACACATTTTTATGTGCCGCCGGCAACAACGACGTCGTCGTCGGCGTTGACGCCGACTGCGCGCACTTCGCCCACTCACCGCCGTCTCTCTCTCTCACTATCTCTCTTCGTCTCCCACTTTTGCTCTTTTGCTTTCTGTTTCGCTGCTGCTGTTTCGTTTCTTGCCCAATTTTTTATTTGCCCGTCGTGTTTTCTTTTTTATTTTTTTGATTTTCAAACATTTTGACCAAAGCCAAGCATACACACTCACATACATACGGTATATACATATATGTATAAGTATATGTATATACTTATGTACGCATGTGTAAACGGCTTGTACGTTGACGTTGTTGAACAACTGCTGCTACAACAAAACAACAAAACGCTGGCAGCTTTTTGCCATATTTATTAGCAGCAGCAATAAAGCGAATTTATGCTGCTTAAAATGTGCGCCTCGCTTATTTACTTGCAATTAGTTGTTGCTGCTAGTTTTTATACCCTGCAACCATTGAGAATGGGTAAAAAGGGTATATTGGTTTTGTGCAGCTCTATGTAACAGGCAAAAGGAGCTCAAAGTATATATATTCTTGATCAGGATCAACATTCGAGTCGCTATAGCCGTGACCGTCACGCAGATATCAGAGACTAAAGGAGGTTGATAACTTCCTCCGTTTCGCATATATCGATAAATAAATGCCACTATTTTAAGGACAGAGGCTTTTAATCAATACATAATGTATATTAACATATTTTAAAACAACGTCGCAATTTTCATAAAGATCGGATAAGAAACACCCAAGCTATAGCCGATAGACATGCACTGCCTCAGTTTTTTGTACTCTTACGGGCCTGTGACTGCCATAACAAAATGCTTGCACTTGCAGACCTGCTTACATTTGGGTGTGCAAAAAATTTTAATGTGAAATTTTGTCAATTAAACTGCAATCAATACATACGCTTAACAGCTGGGTGTATCATAGTCAAGCTCACTCGACAACAGTATTCCTACTTGTTAGTTGTTGCTGCATTATCATAAACTCAACTAGTTGTTATTGTTGCTGTTGTTGTTTATTGCTTTAAGCTACTTACTGTCATAGTCACGGATTATTTATTGTTCGCTGCTACGTGAAAATCTCTTTCTTTTTCGCATTACTTGGCACATACACACACACCCACCATAGACACATAGATATTTGAATTCGCCTCACAATTGTGTGCCCTTCGCAAGGTTGCTTTTGCAGAGCTATAATAACGGTAAGCTACACAATTCTAGGGTGGTTTTTTTTGTATACATATATTTAAAAACATTTGTTGTTGTTTTTGGTTGTCCGTCACAAACAAAAGCAACAGCTGCGGCGACAAGTCTATTGTGAATGGGACGCAAGCAGTAGCAGCGGCAGCAGCCTTGTAAGCGCCACCCACACAAAAGCAGCGGCGTCCACACAAAAATTTGTAAAGCACCAGCCTCGAGATACCCCAACAACACCAACAGAAATGCAATGATTGTATGCATTTACCCATACACAAGCAGACACACATATACACATACATGCATGCGCATATTTATCTCGCTCACATGCTATGACGTGAGTGCCAACTGCCAGCGTCGACGTCGTCGTAGTTGCCTACGCCTACGCGAACGCTCTTCAAGTCGCGCTTTAAAAGCGTCACACGCTCAGCTGAGCGCGCAGTTCTCTCTCTCTCTCTCATTCTTTATACCCGCGGCTTCATGACGTTTTCCAGGCAGTTCGCTTCGCTGTTTCATGCTTCGTTCTTCATTCTTTGTGCACGTGTGATTTCATCTTCGCATACCCTGTACCAAAAATGTGGGTATCACTTCAGGATAAATCGAATGCAAAAACAAGATTTTCCATAACTCGCATTTGATAAAAATATCGATGAATTTTACTTATGGCAAATGTATTTCTATGGAAAATGTATTTCTATGGAAAATGTATTTCTATGTTTATATATAAAATTGTCATAAATCATACAATTGTGTATGTACTACACATTTTGCCATACTTAGGGGTGTAGTGCAGCTGCATTATAATAGTCTATCTTGCTAATACTGGTATACCCTACATGTACACACATTTCAATATCATCTAAATTGCTAACACATCATTTATTTATTGTTGTTGCCTTGCGAAAGAACTATGAATGTTAGGTTATCTCCTAATCGGTCATTTACTTTTGACTCGCATTCGGCTTCTGAGTTTCCTTTTGTTGTTGCCTTTTTTAGAGCGCGCTTTGAGTCATTCACTCTGCCTACGCTGACAGTGACTAACTGTATATTTATCACATTGTCAAATGAACATTCAGCATGAAATTGAATTTCATATTAAATTTCATTGCATTTTGAGGCAATTGAATGCAATTCGTACATTTGTATTAAAAAGAAGAAGACGCCTCCACAACAGCCAGTGGCAACAATGCACCGCATAAGCCGCATCAACTTTGCCATTTGCAGCCTTTTCTTCTTTGTAGCCTTGTGCCAATATAATTGAAATACCGCCAGATAGAGAGCCAACAAATATACAAATGTATATAGACATATATATATATATATATATATATATATATATGCATATGTATGTATGTGTGTGTGATCAAATACTATATTCAACTTGCTGCTTTATTATTGTTTTGTCTAAGCAGCCGCCTGTCTGTTGCACTTTAAAGCAATAACTGTCAAACGAATAGCACAAATGAGAGACACAGATAGAGAGAGTGAGAGAGAGAGAAAAGCAGCGCCGCTAAATGGAGCAACAAGCCGTTTAAATATTGCTTAACTTTTGGCTAGACAAAAATGGTTACGCATGAGTTCATGCGCGGATCTCAACGATAGATGGCGCCAGTCTCGTTGTATGCAGCACGTTTTACATTATTTAGCTGCTCTTCCTCCCACTCTCTCTCTCGCTCTCCATTTGTAAGCAACAAACATATATCGCACCTTTAGTAGAAGTACTTATGCATGCATGTGTATATGTGTGAGTGTGTGTGTGTGTGTGGGTGTGCTTTGTGTAGGCGACTTTTGACTTACTCGTCGACTGTTAATGAGTGGGCCGCTCGCAATATGCTGACTCAATATACACACACAAACACATACAGACATTGAGCGACAAACGGCACTCGAGCTTCAACTTACTTGTGTTCATGTACATGTGTATGTGTGTGTGTACGTGACGATAAGGTGTAAAGAAAAAGTGCTAAATATTTGCACACATCTATATCAATGAGCAACTGGCTGATGACACACTCTCTCCCAGTCCCTCTCTCCATCTCTCTCTCTCTCTAGGCGCATTCTT